AGAAGGTTGAGGGAACTTCAAACTTTATCACTGAAGTATTCTTCCTGACTGTCGCCGCCCATCACTACGGCAGTGAATCATTGACCTCAAAGATGGAGCAACTCGAGAAAGATGTGCGACAGATGGAGAGTACAATCACTAAATTTGAACTTGAGCGGGTTCGTTGGCTCAACAATCCACAGCAATTGCGCACCTTCGATACGGCCCTGAAGAAGTACAAAGACAAGCTCGAACTGGGCATCGCTCTCAAGTACAGTCTCCAAGGTGTGTTGTTCGACGAGCAGTGGCAGGCTCGTTCCATGCTATTCATGCGATATGTTACCGTGTGGCTTCTGAGACTTGTCTCTGGAAAGAACTTCCCCAAACAGCAAGTTACCCTTCCTCTTCCAGAGGAGCAGCCCGAAGTCTTCAAATGTCTACCAGAGTACTTCTTGGAGGATGTTGTCAGTAACTTCAAGTTTATCATGTGGTGCATGCCACAGATCATTACGGCCACCCAGGGAGATGAGCTGGTAATGCTGTGCATCACATTCCTAGAGTGCTCGACCTATATTAAGAATCCCTATCTGAAAGCCGGACTGATCTCCATTCTGTTCCGAGGCACTTGGAAGCGCCCTGGTGGCGCCAGTGGTGTTTTAGTCGACTTGCTCAACAGCATGCCATTTGCCAACGAACATCTCCTCCATGCGGTCATGAAATTCTATATTGAGGCAGAGTTCACGGGAACACATTCCCAATTCTACGACAAGTTTAACATCCGTTACGAGATCTTCCAGATCATCAAGTGCATCTGGCCCAACACTCTGTATCGGGAGAAGTTGTCCCTTCAAGCCAATCAGAACCTGGATTTCTTCGTCCAATTCGTTAACCTTCTACTAAACGATGTGACTTACGTCCTCGATGAATCTTTCGGTGCTTTCAAGACTATCCACAACACCCAGACCGAGCTGAATACACAGGGCAACTCAATGGATGCCGCAACCCGCCAACAGCGGGAGGAGAATCTGTCATCAGCGCAGCGCAGCGCCAAGAGCTACATGCAACTGACTAATCAAACCGTGGCAATGCTCAAGCTATTCACTGAGGCGCTTGCTGACTCGTTCACAATGCCTGAAATTGTGCAGCGACTGGCAGACATGCTGGACTACAATCTCGACGCAATGGTGGGACCCAAGAGCTCCAATCTCCGAGTGGACAACCTGCAGGAATATGGCTTCAATCCCCGCGCTCTTCTGAGTGAGATTGTCGACGTCTATCTTAATCTGATCGGCAAGGAAAACTTCATCCTGGCTGTTGCCCGTGATGGCCGATCCTACAAGCCAGCCAATTTCGAGAAGGCGGCTGATATTATCCGAAAGTGGTCGCTGAAATCCCCCGAGCAGCTCCGCCACTGGAGTGAGCTGCAGAAGAAGGTCCAGGCTGCCAAGGAGGCCGATGATCAAGCGGAGGAAGACATGGGCGAGATCCCTGAAGAGTTCCTCGGTATTTTTCCCTTATTTGACCATCCCTTTTCGACAGCTGCTAATCTTTTAGATCCTCTTATGTATTCCCTCATGGATGATCCCGTCATACTTCCCAGCTCACGGATCGCCATCGACCGCGCTACAATTCGCTCGCATCTCCTGAGTGACCCCCACGATCCATTTAACCGTGTCCCATTGAAGATTGAAGATGTAGTTGCTGGTAAGCAATTCTCTTTCCCATGTATTGTTCCAGTATTAACCACCTTTCTAGATACCGAACTTAAAGCCAAGATTGAGGCGTTCAAAACTGAGAAATTAGCTGGCAAACGGAGGGAAATGGTGCATGATCGGATGGACACTTCAAATTAAGGAGCCGGAGCTTTTTATGATTTAATTCACAAGCTTGCTTATTTAGGGCATTAGCGTTTACGGTACAGAATACACTCTGTCTATGTGGAATCATGCCCCTGGTTATTTACACATGTGACTTTTGTCAAGTAGAGAATCAAACGAACCTAGTCTTGTCGCCGACTTGCTGAATCTGGTAATTTGCCCTTGTCTTACCCTTTGTAGTTGTAGGAGGACTTTCGTTTGCACGACCCTGTTTGAATTGTCCCGTATGTGCCTTTCTTAAGTCGATAATTCACGCCGAGCTTACTAGAAATTGCCATACTGATCGATATGCCCAACAGGGTCTGTTCTTTTCAAAGATATAAAAGACTAAACAAAGTCAAAAAGGAAGCAGAAACAAAAAGCAGAAGTTTAAGTGCTTACCCGGGACCCACCGCCTTCCACATAAGCTTTAAGCTTCTTGTTTACCCTCCGCCATCTTCAACCTTCATCTTTTCAACTCTCAATTGAAATGGGTGCGACTATTTCCACTTGTTTGGGAGCTCTGCCTCCTGTTGTGGAGCTCTTCCCTCCATACCCGACTGTTTACACCTCTGTTCTATGCTGCTTCCAATACTTTCCCCTGGTCAGGACCCTGAAGCCTTAGAAATGCTACCAGACTAACTCGGGACATTTAGGTGACAGCAATTCAATGGATTTTGTCCTGGCACCCAGCAGGCAAAACCTCCTCGGAGTCCATCTTCAACATCCCAGGACGTATCGCCTGGTCTGCCATGGAGATTGTCGGCCCTATCAACTTGATCTATAGCATGGTCACTCCATCGCCATATGCACCCTCCTTCACTGATCTCCCCGTTTCCAACATCCTCATCGTAACTCTGTACTGCACACACTATTTCAACCGCGCTATCATCTCGCCCTTCTTCTCCGCGCCTAGCATGTCCCCAATCCACGCCAGCATCATGGTCTTCGCCATGGTCTTCAATTGGTTCAACTCCGCCTGTCTGGCCGGCTGGTTGCGCGGATATACAGTGCCGATTATCCCAAGCTTCATGGTTAGCAGCGGAAGTCCCCGCTCCGCAGTGGGCGATCTCCTCCCCACCGTGGGTGTGATCTTATTTGCCATCGGAATGGCCGGGAACATCTACTCAGAGACAGCCCTGTTCCGACTTCGGCGCGAAGAGGCCGAAAAGCGCGCTGCCAAAAAGGCAGATGACCAACCTCGGGCGGGAGGAAACATGTTCCACAAAGTTTACGTCATCCCACCTTCTCGTGGTGTCTTCCGATACATTTTGTATCCGCACTACGTGTTCGAATGGCTCGAATGGATTGGCTTTGCTCTGGCTGGTACGGCAGTTGTCCCCTTCTCCGCCCTGCCTGCCTCTGTCTCGGCGTCTTCGGCCATCACTCCCCCGCTGGTTCTAGCGCCGTGGTTGGTGCCTGCTGCGTGGACGGCTGGTAAGCTCGCTGTGCCGCTGCCTTTGCCGGCTGTGGTGTTTGTTGTCAATGCGCTCACGAATATGTTGCCCCACGCGCGCTGGGGACGGAAGTGGTATGTTGAGAAGTTTGGGGAGCAGGCTGTTGCTGGGAGGGGCGCTGTTGTCCCTGGGTGTGCGTGGATGTGAAATGGGAGCTCTCCGGGATATCTTCTTCCTTTTTACTCTTCTCGTTAGTGGCTTCCCGAGCTTGATATCCAAATACGATTGTTTCTTGCTGGATTTGAATTCCTTCAGTCACGATGTAAAGGTGTTAACATTTTCTCGTCCAACATATCCTTCAGCTCCTGGGTGGCTTCAAGTGTGTCGCCATTTGGACAAGTAGCATAGAAATGCTCCAGAATATTCAGTTGCTTGGTCCAAGGGTTATATTTCGCCTGTACCAAGTGGGGATAATGAGGTGTCGATGAGGTTAAGGGCCGGCGTCTTCGAGTTCTGGTGAAGGGTTAGGGAATGTTGTGCTTAAGATTGTGCTCCTGGATATGTTGTAGAATCCCACAAGTGATCCAGACTGCTGCCACTATCCTAGCATTAGGCTAACCGACACAATGTGAGACATTCAGAAGACAAGTGGAGCGCAACAACAATGTCCGATGTAACCGTGCACACATACCTTCCCCGCCAGCGGTATTTAGTAAATACCGCCATATCCAGAAAGTATGTATCTTTTGTATGGCTGGCCCATACAAAAGATACTTCCAGAGCACATCATCGGCACAAGATCAATTCTAAGATAGAATATAATTCGAAGAAAGTCTACATTATTAATTGAAGTTTAATAGGAATGTTTAACAGATTAAAGGAACGGCTTTTCGTATGTTTTTGCAACTACTCCGTACTACTAGTATATTGTTAGTGTCTTTTTAAACTTTAATTCTTGTTAGAAGCATTCAATTAGTGAAGCTAGGCTCGCGTTATATATTAGTACGCTTCCCGCTAACCAGTCCGAGGGCTGAGGAAAATTAACAAGTATCCGTTATATGGGTAGGTTATACAAAAGATACATACCGAGTCTGGGTTCGGATCTGCCCGACCTGGATCTGGTAATTGGGGTAAGCTAGGTGGATCACGAATTGTAAAATCAAGTATCTTTTATATAGGAACCCAATACAAAAGATACTTGCACGCAATTCTCTGAACCCTTAAGACCCTTGGACCCCTAAGGGTCGACGCTTGGGGGTATGCGTCACCACCCGGGTAGTAGGCGTCACCACCCGAGAAAAAGGCTGCAAATAGGTAGCTTTTGTACGGATTTGCTATATAAAAGATACTTCCAGTGGGTGTGGGTGAAAGTCTGGTAGCCGGTGGAGCGTACCAAAAATAAAAGAACCATGGAAACAATTTGGGGGTTTCCCGACTCCAACCTTGAAGGTTCCAAAGTTTCAATTGTTACGGTTGTTACGGTTACATATATCAAACTCAAAATATAATACAGAATCACTTTGTTACTGTATATCGATTGATCGTCTTCTCTTTGCCCCTTATTCGGACCGCAAAAGGAAAGTACCTCGGTTGCAGACCCTAGCGCAAGATACAGATAAGACAGTTATCTCCTCCTTTTCTCGAATGTGTAACAAACGGGCAATGATTTATTATGGATACACAGATTATATGCCCATGTATGTTGTAGTCTTCGGGTATCAATATGAATAAACTTGCCACCCAGCTATAACTCCCAAAAAAACAAATCCTAAACCCTATCATCGGCGCTGATACGTAATCCATTCAGCGACCCCATTCTATTCAACCTCGGCGAAGTCTGTGGGCCGGGCGACATCTGTGGCGGATTCTGCTCGCGCGAAACGATCACCTCGGTCGTGCGAACAATGCCCTCACCCTGAATCGGCAAGATCCGCTCCTCGCTGGAATTGCTTCGTTGACTCCCCGCATACGCAGCCGAGCCGGTCGTAGACGCGAGCTGGGAGCGGTGGTTCTGCGGGTCGGCGTCGTACTCGATGACGCTGAGGTTGCCGCTTTTGTGGCCGCGGGATTGGAGCGGTCCGCCCCGTGATCGCGACATCGAGTGCAGTTTATATTTATTGCTGCCGGGGTACTCGCGTGTCGTTTTGGACTGGGAGCCGTATGTGCCGAGGATTCTCTTGAAGAGGGGTTTGAGGGTTGGGAGGGTGCCGGCGATGATACCCGTGTTGCATTCCGTGCTGGTATTGGTTAGTATGGGGGTTCAGGGTGGATGTTTAGACAACTTACACGACCCAAATTGTGAGGTTTGAAAAGTCCCAGAGGAAGTCGCCGGCGCTGCCATAGCTGGATAGGATAGAGAGCTTGACGAAGGCGGCTGCGCAAGCACTAAGGGAGTAGATGAATTAGCATGGTTTATGACGGGATTGGATCAAAAGTCGCGTACAAAACTCCCAGGCCTAGGATACAGATGAGAGAGGCTTTCACTCGGCGATTGACTTGAAGATGACTGTATTGTATTAGCATCCCATCGGGGAAAAGCGATGTCCACAGCATACCGTAGCATAAAAACCGGTAGGACCGCGAAGATCAGATCAGTCAGAATATTCAATGCTGTTCAAGTTAAAAACGTCTATTTAAACCCATACAGAGCCAATCTCACCAGTGTTTGTATAGGTCAGAACCAAAAGTTGTTTACGAGAGAAGCACTTTGATTTCACCGAAGGATCCCAATTTGATCGGATATCTGAACACTCGAAAATAAGCGTCTGCGATCGATCGGATTGTTAGTTGCTGTCGATCGAAAGTGGGGATAAGGCACGCACCAAAAAGCAGATCGCAGTGTAGAGAGTCATGAGAACTGCAATGCGCCGGGCTCGTCAGTAAGATGCAGACGAAAATATCAGGCCTTCACACACCAATGACCACCCAGATAAAGACCTTGTATCCTTTTCGGGGTGCGAAACGAAGCAAAAAAAGCCCAATTGATACCTTCACCAGGCCAATTGCCCACATGTAAATGCCCTGGGTAGCATAATTCAAATGCATTGCCTTTACAGACGTTTCTTGAACATAGATCATATGCCTGCCTGCACCGTATATCACCTCGGGGACGATAATGGCGAACCCGCAGAGAGACAGCAGCATGGTCAGGGCCATCGTATAGTCATCCCAGCCGACATTGCGAATAAGGAATATGCGCACGTAGAACCTGGCCAAAACGGTGAATAACGCGGCGAAAGTAGTGATAGCCGTGGCTATGATAATTTTCGGTCCTTGATTGAGATCTGGGGGATTCACATCCCTGCTATGCGGACCGTCCGACATGGCTTGTCGTAAAAGTTATGGAGGAGACATCGAGAGGAGAAGTCAGACAGGGATTATACTTGGGGCCAAATTGACAGGGTCATCCCAAAGGTTATCAGATTTAATACATAGAACCCCGTACACCGTATCATAGGTTTCGCATTCGCATTACAGTCAGCTCTACCAAGTTATCGCTATGGTCCCCGAAGCCAAGAGGGCCGGTGGCGTGAGTCTCGTATGGAGGGGCGTTTTTCATCTATTCTACTTCGACCAAGCACCACAGGCCAATCATCTGGTTTCATCTTGTAACCATGTTCTTCAACTTTGGGTCAACAATCTCCTTTGAGCGGTTCACAAGCGACGTCGGACATGAAAAAAAAAACGGAAATGCAATGCCATTATCTGTGTTCCGTCCGAGTTCGACGCCTGCATGGCAACAATGCATTCCCTCCAATGGAAGAGGTTTCTAGAATACGCCTCAGACCCGGCAGCCGGGTTGTAGTTCGTCATTCGAAACATGGCCAATGAGCAGGCGGAGCATCATCGGTAAGAAAAGCAAGGAGATAAGCCCCTCGGATGTACTGGGAAGGTTGCATAGGTAGCTTGCAGTCGGAGTTTACGGATTTGGCCGCAGCTAGGGCACTAGGAGGGGCGTGACTCCGAGATTGGCTGGATTTTGATTAATTTCCCAAAGCGACCACCTTGTTAAATTGGCCAAATTCAATAAATTGGATTCTTCTAGGGTCTAGACGGCCACAGGGATTGTCGCTTAGCTGAAATTGCCAAGCGACAAGGGGACCACGTGGTGGCTGATTCCTATTTGCTTCAGATTTATTGTAGTAATATGCGTTTCTCGTCATATGTCCCTATATGGAGTTGATGGGATCCCCAGAGTATAAAAGGCTCGGTCCGTGAGTGATCCGACGGTTTTTTTCAGGGAAGAGGATCCCTGAATAGACCAAAACCCTGAGTTTAAGGGAAAAAGTGCGATAGCAAATTGCCGGCGTCTCCCGGTGGAGAACGCGGAACGTATGGCCCGGTGCCCTAAATGGTCCCAGCAGAAGAGGGGAGATTATGGACCCCCGCGGATTTTATGCAAGAAGCGCATGCTTTGAGTTAGACTCGGACGTCGAAGATAGGGGTGATGAAGCTATTAAATCAACAAGCATGCCCGGATTCCTTCTGGCTCAACACTTCTCCTAAGCTCTTGTCAACTCGCCACCATGGTTGCCATCTCCATTCTCACTCTGGGAGCTTTGTTCGCGCAGGCGTGGGCTATCCCCACTGCCGTGGACAGTGCTGTTGCGAGCGCGACTCCCACCGCTGCTTCCACCTCCCTGCCGGTCGCTGAGTCCCAGCTTGAGGACTTGGCTGGGTTGGCATACAACACCACCATCGATACTGTCTCGAGCGACTCGGACATTACCAAGCGCGGTACTTGTTCCTTGAGCAATCTGCGCATTCGTCGCGATTGGAGGACTTTCTCTAGCACCCAAAAGAAGTCCTACATCAGCTCCATCCTTTGCCTGCAGAAGTTGCCTTCTTTGACTCCTTCCGCGGAGGTCCCTGGTGCGCGGTCCCGTTACGATGACTTCGTCGCAACCCACATCAACCAGACTCTGGAGATTCACTTCACGGGAACCTTCCTCGCGTGGCACCGGTACTTCATCTACAACTTCGAGGAAGCCATGCGCAACGAGTGTGGCTACACCGGCGACTACCCGTAAGTCAATCGCATCACATAATAAAAAAAAATACCCCAATATCTAACATAACCACAGCTACTGGAACTGGGCCGCCGACGCCGGCAACCTGGAGACATCCCAAGTCTTCGACGGCAGCGACACCTCGATGTCCGGAAACGGCGCCACCGTCGCGTCCGCCGGCGACATCCAGCTGAGCTTGGGCGACTACCCGATCATCTACCTGCCCACCGGCAACGGCGGCGGTTGCGTGACCAGCGGCCCCTTCAAAGACTACACCGTCAACCTGGGCCCCGTCACCCTGATGCTCCCCGGCGGCGGCAGCCAAACCAGCGAGAACCCCTTCGCCTACAACCCTCGCTGCCTGAAGCGCGATCTGACCACCAAGATCATCCAGGACTACGCTAACTTCACCGCGGTCGTGGACCTGATCCTGCGCCACAACGACATCTACGACTTCCAGATGAACATGCAGGGTGTCCCCGGCAGCGGCAACATCGGCGTCCACGGTGGCGGTCACTACTCCATGGGCGGTGATCCTGCCCGTGATGTCTTCGTCAGCCCCGGTGACCCTGCTTTCTGGCTCCACCACGGTATGATTGATCGCACCTGGTGGATCTGGCAGAACTTGGACCTGCACAATCGTCTGAATGCTATTTCTGGCACCGGTACTTTCTTGAATAGCCCGGCTTCGCCGAACACTACCCTTGACACCCTCATTAACATTGGTTATGCTGGTGGCTCGGATATTGCTATGCGCGATCTCATGAGCACTGTCTCTGGTCCTTTCTGCTACATCTACCTGTAGGTGGTCGTTATTGGCTGTATATACTCAGACCCCTAGAATGCGAACTGGATGGAAGATGGCAAGAATGGATGGAGTGGAGGAAGTCATATTGTACAGAAGATAGAATTGTATATAATCCATCATTTAGACCGAGAAGTGACTAAAATACTCGGGAAGACAAAAATTATTCTATCCTCAAGATATTCAATTTATCCATGAATTAGGTCTAAAGTAATACAGCAATCTAAGACCTATAGCCAAAAGAACCCACTTATTACATCTTCCACCGCGAGAACATCATAAGCGGAACCCACAGCCAAGAACAAGGAAGCGAATCGGGCTTCCCAGCACCGTTAGTAACAGCAGGATAAGTATCCTGGCCGTAAGTTGTGTTTAGCGTGACATGAGCCTGGGCGGACCCATCTTCCAGTCGAATCCACGTCTCGGTGTCGTTTGCGAGATTATCCTCGTGGAGTAAGATCTGCCGTCCACCGCGGGCCAGATTTCCATAGCCGCCATACCCCGTATGCCGCCCGTAGCACATATTGATACCATTCCCGGTTAGATCGTGATCGACAAGAGATCCATTCCATTTAAAGCACCTGCGAGGTTTAGCGTTTGAATCATTCAAGTCACGATTAGTTGCCTGCTAGACACATACCAGTCATTTTGGTGATCGTGGCCGCTAAATCCCGCGATTAAGCCTTCGGTGTGAAGGAGCGCGTCCATGAACTTGACGTCCTGGCCGTCATAAGTCCATTCGCCGGTTCCTTGCGGGTTCACGCGCTCGAGATTCACGCCGGGATTCAGGTGCGGATTTATGCCTTTTGTTTGTTGGTGTTCCAGCATCGCGTGCGCAGGGATGTGATAGAATGCTAGCGAGGGAATGGCTTTGCCATACTTCTTGTTCAGTTCGGAATTGGTTTTCGTAAACCATTCAACGACCTTGAATGCAGCCAGTCAGTCATTTCCTGAACCAATATCGGGGCTTTCCTACCGAATCATCAATCCAACTCGGCCTTTTAACAGCAGGCCCGGTCTCTCCTTGCTTCTGGTAATAATGCCCACCCTTCGAATCGAAGAACCACAGCAGCAGCGTCGGCGTGCTGGTATTCGTCTGTCCATGTGAGAACACCGGCAGGTAATAATTTGTTATTCCGGCCTTGTCGCCGGAGATCATACTCTGCGTCAAACTGTTGGTGTATTTGTTCTCCTCCTCGAGCATGTCATCCTCCGGGTTGAGATTAACCTCGCTATCGTGGTTGCCGTAGGTTGATGCCCAGCTGTATCCCTTTTCGACAAGCGGGGAAACTACCGAGTCGATATATTTTTTTGAATCGGCTTTTTGGGTTCTTTCGCCGGAGACTAGGTCGCCGTTTATGACTACGAAGTCGATGTCCTCCTTCGAGAGGATCGTTGACATCACTTTTTTGGACTTGTTGTCTTTTTCGTCGTCTGCAAGGGGTTAACAAAAGACCGTTCCTTATCAATTATCAACACATACCCTCGGCGAAATGCAAATCCTCAAAGACTCCAATGTGAAATGTTCCATCCTCTCTAAACCGCAGGGTTCGATCCTTGGGTGCTCTGAGAACGGTTTGTTTCAATTCCCTGAGATCCGGTCGGGGTACCATATTGGAGGAATGTTGAATCAAAAGCGATCGATCGCGGGGAGATCGGCTGGAAGGGTTCAACGAGATTCACGTGCTGAGCATCTCGCAGTCACGTCAGGAGCGTCGTGCCAAGACCTTTTAGATAGATTCGGCTATTTGCTCGACATTCTGCAATTGACTAGTAGAATTACTGGTTTAATTCATATTGGATTGCGAATTCTATTTCCTCGAGGTGTTTTAAGGGTAATTATACCGTGATTTTTCGTGATTCCTATCTATAAATTGTAACTGTTCCTTGGTTATACATAGGAAAGTCGTCTGTACTGTTGACACTTTCTCGCCTTTTTAGCCAAAATGAAAGGGTGAAAGATAAGAATAAAAGACGGCCAAGCGGTCTAAAAAGACTACCAATAATAAGAGCAATTTAGTTAGTGTGTCTACAAATAATCCAACGCCTTCGCTACCCAAAAAAGAGAACAAAGAAAGAACAAAACGAAATGGATGTACCCCTATCGCTATCGGCGAGCTGAGATACCACTCTGAAAGAGTCCTGAATCCGATAGAGGTTCCTCAGGGAAATTGTAGAGCTTGCCGTTGAAATAAGACTCAAAAGCTTGGGCATGTTTTCTCATGAATGAGATTGGGAAGACCTAACTATCACAAACTTGGCAAGTGGTCATGCGCTGAATTCAATCTTCAATCCCTTCAGTTCCGACTTACAAAGTGTATGCTTTTGAAGGTCAATAGTGCGCTCTAGCTGTAGCAGGATTATGCGGTGTGCGAGAAGTTCGGGCGATTCAGTACACCATAACTAGACATGTTGTGTATTTGATGTAAGTGGAGGTGATATACAGAACAACACGAAGCCAATAGGATTAGGCTGACACCCGAAGTTAGTTAAGGCTTGTTAGAATTAGTATTGCATGATACTACAAGAATAGAATCTTGGCGTCGCTGGGCAACGAGCCGCATGTCTCGGATGCCCAAAGCCACCAATTTTGATTTCTAGGGTTTCCACCAATAGACTTGATCCTGTATAGTGTTCTTGGCCCTGTTCTTGGCTTCCAATCCCTGGCATTCCACTGGCCATCCTACGGACCTCGGGAGTACGGAGTCTCCCGTGTTATAAACGAGATACCCCACCTGGGCATTATAATTTATGGCGAGCTCAACTGTTAGACTCTAGACCTCTCTATCTTGGGCCTCCTGCGTTCGATGTTTCACTTGTCGCTGTGCTTTGCGGTGGCAATCCAATCGAGGATGTGATCCGAGGTGCATAACTATGTGACCATCCGACCGTGTACAGTAAGCACATTAGAATGTTCCAATCGTGGCCTTTTGATTGGGTGAAAATGGTGGAAGCGCTTTACCCTTGTATGTGGCGTAGCATTGCGCGATATAAGTAGCTTCTCCGGTGAGACTTGTTGACTGCAAAGCGCCTAATTGAGCTCGCTCTTTGGTCACAGGAGACTTTCGAAGCCGAATCACATTTCACATGTTTCTTGGCTAAGAGGCCCGTGTAGAAATGCTCCAGTAAGAAGGAGATCGAGCATTGAAACGTCAGAAAGCCACATGCATCCTAAAAATGGCCAGTCGCTAAGAACCAATCGTTGGCCGCCCGTATGTACCTTCAACATGTGAGATACGAGGTGGTTGATCGCTACTACTCAACGGTTTTGCGTATAAAAAGGCACCGTATTCTCATCTTGGAGCCATTTAAACTATCCTTCTCAGTGCCAGTTCTCTGTGCCCTAATCACTTCCTATTCGATCCGAACGTTCATTTACTTTGATCGCCATGTCAGCGCTCATCGAAACCCTACCCCTACCCTACCCCGCACTGTCGATTGAGTCAGACTCGGACAAAGAGTCTTGAATACGAGGACAACGAAGATGACCCCGCCCCCCAGATCAATGCTACAAGAGTTGGTAAATATTTATACCCTCCCACCAAAGACGGGCAGATATTGAATACATCGCTGAGAGTGCTTCTCTGTTTATTCCACGCAAATTGGTGCATGGTCAAGGACCCATCATCGTCGTCACTGGAAGGGTTCGTGGCTGTGGAGGTTTGACATACTCCTCGTCATATTCAGCGATGGCCACAAACACCTCACGTCGGTCTCGAGATACATCCTCTCGGCGCTGTGTTAACTATCTGTTCGTCTTTTGTGGGCGGATATAAACGTTTATAAACTCTGACATTGGACTCGTGGGCTTATCCATCTGGGGCCGATTCTTTTGGCAATCCGATGCTAATATTCAAGCAGGATACTTGAGTTAGCAAGAATTCTAGATCCTCCAACAAAGGATGAGCAGACCGCTAATACGGCGCCGAGAGTATACCTCGATGTTTATCTAGTGTATTCCACGCACTGAATTGGTATATGGTCAAAAAGGACCCATCATCGTCGTCAATCGAAGGGTTCGTGGTTGTTGAGGTTTGATATACCCCTCATCATATTGAGCGACGGCCACGAGCACGTCATGTCATCCTCGATATATACTACCAGCGCTGGATTTGCTGCCTTCTCCTCCTTTGTTGGAGGATATAGAATCTTTACCAACTTTCGCATTGGACTGGTGGGTTTATCCATGATCTGGGACCGATTCTTCTAATAATCTGATACTTGTTGTTGTTGTTGTTGTTGTTGTTGTTGTTGTTGTTGTTGTTGTTGTACTATTCAATGTCCGGCGGCACATGGGCCATGCAATCTGATACTGATAGTGAAGCAGGATACCTGGATTGGCAACCATTCTAGATCCTCCAACAAAAGATGAACAAATCGTCAATACAGAGCCGAGAGTATTCATCCAGTGTGTATATTCCACGTACCAAATTGGTGCATGGTCAAAAAGGATACCACTTGAAGGGTTCGTGGTTGTTAGGGCTTAACATACACCTCATCATATTCAGCGACGGCCATGAACACCTCATATCGTCCTCGCTATATACCATCAGCGCTGTATTCACTATTTGTTCGTCTTTTGTTTATGGATACAGGATGTTCTCCGTACTAACTCCCTCATTGGACTGGTGGGTTTCGTGGTTGAGGCCGAGTCTTCCGGCAATCTAATGCGAATAGCAAAGAAGTATACTTGGGTTGATGGGACACATCTTAAATTATCTGTTCTTTCTTCCGTGTTGATATGATTGACGAGCAGCTGTAGTCAAGTTTAGAATGACTGTGCAACCGCTATCGACCGAAGGAAAATTATAAGAAGGACAATGGAAAACTATCCTATGGGTACTCTATCATATTGTTTTAGCGTGCAATGCTAGTCAGCCCCAGGTATAACGAGGAGCGGCGAACATGGGTTGTAGAAATCAAATAGACGGCCTTATGCACCAGATCCCCTGCATGGCAGAGGTGCTATCAACTAAACCTGCTGAGGCTACACAAAACTACAAGAAACACAGAATATTGTTAATTGTAATATTGACAACTGATTCTATACTATGATAGAGGCAGTAGATCAAATTCCACGAGGCGAACTTGATCAAGCAAGGTTGTAGAGCTTGCTGTATGTGGAAAACCACACAATGTTGAAATGGTAAAACTAGCACCAACCGAACATCACAACGAAAGTAGGTCGTAATGTTGGTCAGCGCCAGTTTAAAATAGTCAGTAATGTTGAAACTCCAGGCCCGCTTTTGGTATCCTCTAGAAAACCCGTTGAAACCCATATGTTGAACTTTTGGTATCATCGTCGTAACTCATCAATAAAGAAAACTCCCCAGTACTGAGGCGACAGGTTGATTGTCGCCTCCTCATTAAATTAATGGCAAATTGAAATAATTTATTTCGCGTACTTCTGGCGGAAGTACTTGGCAGCGTTGACCATCTGTTTGTGTTTATCAGCATTTTGAACATTATTTTCAAGAATATTGCCATGTCTTACCGCAGTGAGAGCCGCCTTAGTCTCGGGCCAGGCACGAGTCTTGAGACCACTGTAAAAAGAAGGATATTAGCATGAAGAGAAAGAAAATGAGATTTCGCGCCAGGATCACAAACCAATCAGGGTTGAGCCAAAGCTGTTCAGGAGTGAGGTAGACCAGCATCTCCTCGATGCGGTCCTTGATCTCCTGCTCGGTGGGGATACGAGGAGAGTGGATGTCGTAAACACCGGGGCCAATGTGACGAGGGTAGGCCTCGTCGATGAAGACCTTGAGGAGCTTAGCATCAGACTTGCTGTTCTCAATGGACAGGACATCGGCATCGAGAGCGGCGATGGCGTGGAAGAAGTCCTGGAACTCGGAGTAGCAGAAGTGAGAGTGGATCTGAGTGCCATCGGAGACACCAGCAGTGGACAGCTTGAAGGAGTCAACAGCCCACTTGAGGTAGGCAACACGGGCGTCACCAGAGCGGAGAGGAAGACCCTCACGGAGAGCGGGCTCGTCGACCTGGATCACAGCGATGCCAGCGGCCTCAAGGTCAACAACCTCGTCGCGGAGAGCGAGAGCGAGCTGCTGAGCCTGGACGGACTGGTGGACATCGTCACGGGGGAAAGACCAACGCAAACAAGTGATGGGACCAGTGAGCATACCCTTCATGGGCTTGGGGGAGATGGAAGCGGCGTACTTCGACTCCTTGACGGTCATAGGAGCCGGGCGGGAGATATCACCGACGATGATAGGAGGACGCACGCAGCGGGAGCCGTAAGACTGAACCCAGGCGTGGGTGGTGAAAACGTAACCAGTGAGGCGCTCACCGAAGTACTGCACCATGTCGTTACGCTCGGGCTCACCGTGGACGAAGACATCGAGATCGAGCTCCTCCTGGACCTTGACGACCAGCTGGATCTCCTTCTCGATGAACTTCTCGTACTCCTCAGGAGTGATCTCACCCTTGGTGAACTTGTTACGCTGGATGCGGATCTCCTTGGTCTGAGGGAAGGAACCAATGGTGGTGGTGGGGAAAAGAGGGAGCTTGAGGGTCTTAGTCTGCTCGGCGTAACGCTCGGGGAAGGCAGACTTGCGGTTGTGCATCTCAGGGGTGACAGCGGCCTGGCGGGCCTTGACAGCGGGGTCGTTGGTGCGGGCAGAAGAAGCGCGAGCCTGAACAGACTTGGCGTTGGCCTCGAGCTGCTCACGGACAGCGGCAGGGCCGTCGCTGACAGCCTTGGCGATGACGACAACCTCGGTGGCCTTCTCAACAGCGAAGGAGAACCAGTCGCGGATCTCGGCATCAAGGTTCTTCTCGCTGGCGAGAGTGTGGGGGACGTGAAGGAGGGAGCTGGAGGTGGCAACAATGACACGGTCCTTGCCGAGCTTCTGAATAGCGTTCTCGACCTTCTCAATGGCGGCCTTGAAGTTGGTCTTCCAGATGTTACGGCCATCGACAACACCGGCGGAGAGGATCTGCTTAGGACCGAGAGCGGCGACGACGGCGTCGAGCTGCTCGGGGTTGCGGACCAAGTCAATGTGAATGGAGTGGAGGCTCTGGAGGTTGGCGAGGACGTCAATGTTGTGGACGATGTCACCGAAGTAGGTGGCGAGGGTGATACGGGGAGCCTGGGCACCGAGGGCACCGAGCTTCTCGTAGACTGGCTTGAAGGCAGCCTTGGACTTCTCGGCAAGGTCGAAGACCAGGACGGGCTCATCAATCTGGACATCCTCGACGCCAGCAGCCTTGAGCTGGGTCAGAAGATCAATGTAGAGAGGAACGAGCTTGTCAATCAGAGTGATGGGGTCAACGCTCTGGCCACGGTCGGCCTTGCCCAGAGTCAAGAAGGAGACGGGACCGAGGAGGACGGGGCGGGTGATGATGCCGGCGGCCTTGGCCTCAAGGAACTCAGCAATGGGCTTAGGCTCGGCAGCGAGCTTGAATTCCTGGTTGTCCTGGAGAGTGGGCTTCACGTAGTGGTAGTTAGAGTCGAACCACTTGACCATTTCCTGTTTATTAAGTCAGCATTGAATTCAGACACAAGATGCAATGATTTGCACATACTAGACTGGGGACATCAATGCCCTCCTTCTGGAGACCACGGCCCATGGCGAAGTACTCATCGAGAGGGTTGAGGTTGTACTTGGTGTAACGCTCGGGGATGGTTCCGAAGAGCTGGTGGTGGTCGAGGACCTGATCGTAGAAGGCGAAGTCGTTGCTGGGAATAATATCGACACCGGCATCCTTCTGGATCTTCCAGTGCTCCAGACGAAGACGCTTGCCCTCAGCGAGGAGCTCATCGCGGGAGATCTTGTCAGACCAGTAAGCCTCGGTGGCCTTCTTGAGGTCACGGAGTCTTCCCATGCGGGGGAAACCCAGAACAGATCTATTCAGATAGTCAGCAACTGTGTCGGCCACTGTTCACAAAGAGTCGAGCCAACATACGATTGAACCATTCTGACGGATGTGTATAAAAAAAAGAGAAAAAGAAGAAAAGGGTCTCAAGGATAGAATTTTCACAAATCCGATGCCTTTGAGAGAGAGAGTGAGGGAAGAGAAGGAAAAATGTCTGAGAAATGGTGAAAGAAATATGGAGGGGGGGGGGAAATAAACGCTAATCCCAATGGGGGATTGATCCACCTGAAAGTTGGAGGGGCATCAATACGGTATGATACATGATACAGTACTTCTGTGTACCTGGGATCCAGGGTTTCTGACCGGATCGTGTGGGATATTGTGTAATTTACTGTTATTTTCAGTCCTCGCATGGTATCAATACCTGATGATCTCCGTGATCGGTCCGCCTATGGATGATCACGCCATTGAAACGATAAGACCTCTCTAGGGCTGCAAGCTATTCACGACTATTAATAATTGCCAATGAAGTCCTTTCCTTTCTTTTTCAGCAAGGGTCTTGTATGTATGCTATTTATTGTATGAATTAATGAGCGGTCAAGCTCCCAAAGTATACTTAGTACGGTACAACATACGGGACAACCACTATGCGTGACACGCTGTCAATTATTGACCCCGCCCCTTTACCCGGACAACAGCCAAGCTGATATTTAACAACATCAATTGGCAGCTTTACTACCTATGAAGTAGCATTTCTAGTCAATTCCTCATGATGCTTTGATATTCCTTCTTAAAATCAATAATGGCTCAGAAGACCCTTGAATAAACCCCGGTGTCGGGGTCCATTGATCGGCCCACGTGATATAGGGATCGGAAAAAGTTAATTGAAACTGAACTTTTTTTTCTTTGGGAAAAAAAAGAAAGCGATTGTCAAGTGCCAAGCCTCTCAAAAGACAAAAAAAAAGTGCAGCCATCATGACCTTCCCTGACGTTGTTGCCCTCAATGCACCTAACTCCCCGCAAGATGTCCAGAACAGCGAACATCATGCCCAGAACTCCGATGGAGTTTCCGTGACCAATGAAGATGATCGCGACCTCCTAAAGCTTGGCTATCGCTCTGTCTTGGCTCGAGGCTGGGGCTCGTTCGACAATTTCGCCTGCTCCTTCTCAGCCTTGAATTGTGTTGGAGGAATTCGTGTGCTTTTCTATATCGCCCTCAGTGGAGGCGGGCCGGCTGCCATGTATGTTCTACTTTCCGCGTGGTTCCCCGCGCTTTTTCGCATTGATCACATCACTAACAACTTCCTCAGGTGGAGCTCCTGGGTCTCCGGTAGTATTTTGTCTATCGTCACGGCCGCCTGTCTCGCTGAAGCTTGTTCAAGCTATCCAGCCGCGGGGTCGATTTACTACTGGGCCTTTCGATCCTGGGGAGGCGGTCAAGTCGGCCGCTTCATCTCCTTCCTCGTTGCCGCATGGACATTGGTTGCGTGGACTGCCTTCCTCGCGAGTGATTCGTTCGGTGTCGCCAATTACCTGATTTCCGAGGTTGTCGTGTTCAACCCGAAGACGAGCTTCCCATACGACACGGCCGACGTCCGAGCGCGTGCCGTGGCATGGGCTATCTCGCTTATTTTCCTGGCCATGGCTACCTCGCTAAATTTCTTGCCCCCGCGCATGTACTCGTGGGTGTTCAGAACGGGTGTGACGATCATTATCATCGATATGCTGCTCAACTTCATCTGGCTTCCCATCGGCGTCTCTAAGACGTACGGCTTCCAGTCAGCCGAATACGTGTTTACGTCTACATACAATGGCGGGGATACCAGCCCCGGATTGAACTGGGTTCTGTCCTGGTACTTGGTCGCCAGTTGTCTCGTGGGACAGGATGCTTCGGGTCATGTCGCCGAAGAGACCGTGTCCGCTAAGAAAGCCGCCGCAAAGGGTATCTTCTGGGCAACCGTTGCGTCTGCGCTGTGCGGCTTCCCGATCATCATCTTGTTCCTCTTCTGCATGCCTCCGATTGACACATTCTATGACACTACCGCACCTCAGCCGTTCATCAACATGTACGCGATGGCGCTCGGTCCCCATGCGCACGTTGTGATGACTATTGTCGCGATGATCGGAGCAATTCTCAATACTTCGATCTCTTTGGTTGCTGTATCGCGACTTGTATTCGCCGTGGCACGCGATGGCGTCTTCCCATTCAGCGACGTGCTATCGCGTGTGTCGAAGTCGAAGCAGCCTCACAACTCTGTGATCTTCATTTCCGTTATTGCCGCGCTTCTCCTATGCACTCAGCTCCCGTCGCAAGTGGCCTTCTCCAGCTTGGTCTCCACTTCGGCTGCGGGTTCCCTAGCAGCATACGGGTTGGTTGGAATGGGCCGAGCGTTTATCACGCGTAAATCGTTCCGTCCAGGCTTTTGGGATTTGGGTTGGTTTAGCGTTATCGCTGCTGTTGTTACATTCATGTGGAACGGATTTGCTTTCGCTGTTCTCTGCGCCCCGGCTTACTCGGACAAAGCAATTGACCAGGATTCGACCTTGTTCAACTACGCGATTGTGATTATGGGCGGTGTCACTATCATCGCGATCGCCGAGTGGTGGCGCAAGTCCAATGATAATTGGTTCGGGCATATCAAAGTTGTTGACACAGATACCGAGACAGAGCACTCCATTGGACGTGAGGAGAAGACGAATATCTCGGCCGATACGACTGGCGCTTGAACTAGGAGTTCTACCGCAGCTTCCCTTGTGCTGGTAGTCATCGGGACTACAGGATGGCAACAAAAAAGGTGGTGATTTGGCATCCCGATAGGGATGCTTTTGGTAAGTGTGTTTTCTATAGCACGCATGACGGGTGTTCGAGGTCTTGCGTTTTTGGTCTTCCAAAAGCGCGAGCCTCGATCTGAGATATTACCGTTAAAACTTGATCTGGACAATACCAGCGAAAGGACATGCATGCTTCGTCCCTCTTTTTTCCCTCTTTGGTGTCGTGCTTTGAAGATTTCATCTCAAGGCAGATGCTGCTGACTGCCCGTCTCGGGTGTAGATCCGTGGTTTGCTACTGATCGGCTCGGTGCCTGGCCATTCCTATGCTGGGCTGGGCTAACTTCCCGTTGCGCCCGAGGCATATGTGAAGTGGTGTTTGTGATGAACTCCCTTTCATCACTCACTTCTATGTCCTCCCAGCACCAGCGGGGATTGAGCCCCACTGCATGGGCCTCAGTCGCAGGGAGCTCGAGTGTTACAGTCCAGTCGATGGCCGTCCTCGTGGCTACCGGGCTCCCTCGATTGCGGGTTCGATGTGTTGCGATCCCACCAGCAAACCGCTTGTAGACTCGTAGATATGAGAGCGTAGAGTATCATAGCTGTAGCATGCTGCATTCATCTATCTCTCAAGCCAAAAAAAAGGCCTATATCTAGTGGGCAACCAGTGCAGCCAAGATCAACCTTTTGTATCCTTGCACCGCCTCTTCAAGCTCTCCCACGGTGATTGCCTCGTCATCGCCATGGGCAACATGAATACTACCCGGTCCGTAGAGATACCGCTTCACTTTTGGACCTCCTTGAGTATCGATCTTCAAGGAAGGAATATCAGTCCCGTAGTTCACAGTAATCACATCAAACCCGTCGACGTCAAAATCAAGATATTGGGGCGGAGCGCCGTTCTCGACATCCCCAAAGTCAAGATAGACGCTTCCATCACCACCAGTCACATATTCGACCGCCTTCCGCACAATCTCTCGCGTGTCATCCGGATTTCCAGCGGCAAGACGGACAGAAATCGTTGCCTCGGCATATGCCGGAACGACATTACCAGCCAAACCAGCGCGCACAACCCCAATGTTCAAGGTCGATTGACCAAACTTCTCACTACGAAGAAGTCCACCTTTCTCAGGCGGGACATCTTGCAGGGTATCGAGGTAAGATAAAACAGGAAGAATCGAGGAGACCGCGCTTTCCCCGAGCCACGGGTATCCCGAATGCGCGGCTTTTCCTTCAGCGACGACCTTAAACCCGAGAGTGCCTTTATGGCCCGCGACAAGCTTGAGCTCTGTCGGCTCTCCGAATATGACTGTGTGGAATTTAGGCGGTGCTGGGTTGAGACCGGAGTTTGAGAAATGTTTGATTCCAACGCCGCTTTTCTCCTCGCCGACGTCGAACAATAACCCGATTGAGGCATCCGGGTTGGCATCTAGTGTTTCCAGTGTAGCAAATAGTATGGCTGCGACGCTGGCTTTGGCATCCACCGTGCCGCGCCCAGCGATAATCAGGTCTGATCGATTGAATGTCAGATCCCCTGTTTTGTCTGAGGCTGGTGGATGCAGAGAGTAAGGAATGAAGGGTGGGACAGTATCGATGTGGCTGGTCAGCAGCAGCTCTGGAAACCTGTCTCTCCCGGTGTAGGCGTAAAGATTGAATCTTTCTTGCTCGGCGGCACTCCCCGGAGGGATAATTTGTTTCTCGACGGTTAGGTTGTGGGAGCGGAGGAAGTCCAAGAGGAAATTCCCAACGCTTTTCTCATACTCGCTGATTGACGGAATTTGCACAATGTCTCTGTGGAATGATAAGAGAGGAGATTCGTCGATAATTCTTTCTAAATTCACAGTTGGAGATTGCAGGTTCTTGTCGATCACTTCTCCAATCAAGGGTTGTTGGGATTCCGATGCCAGCGCTACTCTTGCTAGAGATGCGGCGTAAAAGTACAGGTAATTCTTCATGTTTCTCGGCCCATTGAAGTCTGATAAAGATTAGGGACTGGAGAGGAATGTGATTGACTCTCAGGAAAAGATGAAGTGCTGTGAGAGCCGATTAGGAATTCTCTCCCCGCAATGGCGTATACTCGTAGCCCTGAAGTATTTGCTTCTTTTCGTTACTTCGTACTTTTTTACTGAATCTAGCGAAATGCATTATCTTTGCTCGGCAAATTCACTTTACTAGTTTAAAGTCACGAATTTGCCAAGCATGACTTATTATCGCGTGCTCTGTCGATCTCGAAGCATTATTTGTTTGCATTCTAATAGGTGCTATATAAACTTGCATCTATGGCATTGATATCGTAAAGACAAACTTCAAGGTTGGTTGACGAAAGTGCGTTACATACTAGGGAACTACTCTAGGTGTTTGCTCCTGGGAGATCATCACAGATTGTTCAACTGTCTAGACCATACAATGGACTATAGCTCACATCCGGCTTTCTAAACTGAGGGGTCCTTAGCGCACGGCAGGGATTATATCTATGCCATCGGCAAATATTCCACAGCTTAATATAAGACGCTAGGTAACGAATCCTTGCACGCCATGCCGAGTGGTCTTTGCTCATCTTGCGCAATTCACGCAGGAGATAACCAACTTTTGGTGCTTTCTGAGATTGCGGAGTAGAGCAAATACTAGAATCCATTTAATGGTCTGGATATCCTTTCTGGATCATTGCAATTGCTCCAGCAGAACCTTTTCTCCGTGTACCAGCTACAAAAGACACTGATTGGTGATCACAATGTCTTCTGAGATAGCAGAGAAAGGCCAAACTGGGGTTGTCTCCGCAGACGAAATACCGATACCGGCGAAAGGAAATGTACACTATGTCAACCGCAATGGAGAGCACACTCCGGAGTCTTTTGAAGAAGAGCTCATTCCCGGTTATGATGCCACCCTGATGCGAGCGCGTGCGACGCTCAGTAGCGCGGAAGAAAAGAAGCTTTTACGACGCATTGATTGGCATCTGATTCCATTGTTGGCTGTTATGTATATGTTGAAAAGTGTGGATTTTACCAACGTAAGATTATCTACGGAGTACGGTGATGGGAAATCACTGACCACGATGTTCTAGGTCTCATACGCCCGGATTATGGATAAAGGCACACCGCATAACATCCTGACTGAATTGAAAATGACTTCAGACCAGTATAATCTGGTCACGACTATGTATTATGTGAGAGCTCTCGAATCAAAAGCGTCATTCCTGGGGTCGTACTAATGCATTGGAGGTCCCTTACATTATCGCAGAAGCCCCGTCCAACCTTTTACTGAAAGGTGTGCGACCTTCGATTTGGCAAGCAAGGATTATGGTACGTTGAACTATTACACCTCTAGCTCGTTTGGCACTAACAGTTACAGATATCTTGGGGTATCGTTCTCTGCTGTCATGCCGCTGTGTCAAACAGACAGGGTCTATATGCCGTCCGATTCTTTCTCGGACTATTCGAGGCTGGCCTATGGCCAGGAATGCTCTTGCAGTTATGTTATTGGTATAGACCCGATGAGGTTGCCCCAAGGATAGTTCTTGTGACTCTCCTTGGAAACTTTAGCACTGTGATCAGTGGTGTCCTTGCATTTGCTTTTAATGGTGCCGTTGCTGGTGGTCTATCAGGATGGAAATGGTATTTCAATATCCCTCCAAACATATTGACCATATGCTAATGATGCTTCTAAGGCTTATTTTAACCGAAGGGATATTCACAGTCTTACTGGGAATATTTACTTATTTCTTCCTACCTGACTGTAAGTCATCCTAACCTTTAGTGTCAGGCATAACTAACCACTCCACAGTCCCTTCAACTGCATCCTGGTTATCCGAAAAAGAAAAGGCCTTCACACAAGCCCGCCTACCAAGCAACTCCCCTCGAGCGGCGGAGTCTAACTTTAATCTGCGCGAACTTATCACGACGTTGAAGAACAAGCGAATCTGGCTTTTCCTCTTCTGTTGGGCCTTCTTTACTATCGGGACGACGGGACTCACATTCTACCAACCCACCGTCATTGCCAATCTTGGATTTACGTGAGTTGCGCCAACTTTAAGCGCTCGGGGTATTTGCTAACAAATGTTAAAGCTCCATGGGTGAAACCCAGCTACTAAACATCCCATCTGCGGTCTTCGCAGTAATATTGACAATCGTGTTCGGTATCTTCGCAGATACCGGGCGTATTCCTCAGCCAGCCATCCCGCTTGGATTCATGATTGTCATTCTGGCGTGTTATGGCGTGCTATATGCCTTCCCCAACAACGGTGGTGTATATGCCGCGACGATTATAGCGGGAGGTTTCTCGACTGCTTGGTGAGTCCGACTGGTAATGTTCCATATTATATCAATACCTCATGCTAAGACAAACTAGGTATACAATGATGTGGCCCTGGCGAGTCCAGACCACCGAGGGCGCAACGGGATCTGCTTTTGCAATCGCATTTGCGAATAGTTATGGCCAGATTGGAGGGGCTGTGGGGTCTCAGCTGTTCAATTCTCGGTTCGCACCACGATATACGACCTCCTTTGGGATTGCGATGGGATTTGTTGGCATGGCGATCATTATGAACCTCATTACTTGGGCTTTTACTTGGCGGGTGGATGTTGATACGAGGAAGCTAAAGAGGATTCGACTTGCGGCGGCGAAAGAGAATCAGGCCGTCTTGGATGATGTTGATATTCATGCAGGGGAGAAGAAAGAGAGGTAAATAGGATCTGGGTTAGTAGGACTTGAACCTGACAGTTTGTTAGTCCGGAAACGATGAGCTTCTAGTCCAATTATCCCTCATTGACTTGTACTTATCAACGTAAATGACAAATGCCTTCTCTAACTACTCTGTATCTTTCAGCCTTTTCAACACAAAGTGACATCAAGTGAAGACTGGACGATCATTTCCGAAAGCGTTCAACTTCCCCTCAGCGGAGAATGCCCGGTTTGAAGTCCATACACCATGCTAGTTCCTTTGGCATTCTGCAACTATTCAAATCCAATCGTACAAAATGGCATTTGCCCGCAGATTAGCCATCATACCTGGCGGCCTGGGTAGGGACACGAGACACAAAGCCGGACTCAACGAAACCTAACTTCTCCACAGGCGGCCTTGGATCAAGCATAGGGCAAAAGCTGAGACAACAAGGTGCCCATCTCGCCATTCTCTACGCACCTTTCGAAGCTGCACGCCGCGATGAGCTTCTCGAATCCCGGTACGGCGCGAGCGGCGACCTAGATAACATCCACACCTATGAATGCGACATCACCTCACCAGACTCTGTGCAGGCGGCCTTCAACTCCTTAGAAAAACAAATAATCGACCCAACCTCGTGCTCTCCATCTAACAGAGCGTTCCCAAGTATCCTTATCAACACGGCTGGATACGTATCTCTTAGCGACATGGAGATAACACCCCCGGAAGAAACGCTGAAGCATCTCACCACTAACCTCTACGGCCCGATGCTCTGCTCTCAGGCATTTGCTCGGCTCTATTTTGCCGCATCCAAGGCCGCCGAAGCATCGCCTAGTCCCCCGCCACCGGGCAGGATTGTCAGCATTTCCTCGCAGGCGGCACATGTCGCGCTGCATCGGCATGGCGCGTATTGCGCTTCGAAAGCTGGGCTCCTGGGTCTGACGCGCAGTATGGCCTCTGAGTGGGGTGGTCGGGGTATCACGGCTAACACTGTGTCTCCGACTGTGGCGTGGACGGATCTTGGGAGGAAGGCTTGGGGGGAGGCGAATGTTAAAGAGGCCTTCTTGGCGAATATACCGACGGGCAAGTTTGTGCTTCCGGAGGAGGTTGCTGATTCTGTGTTGTTTCTTTGTCAGGTATTTTTCCTCCTTAGTGGGCTATATCTCTGGCTCTGACTTTCACACTAGGATTCCAGCGGCATGATCAATGGTGCGGATATTAGAGTTGATGGTGGTTTTACGGTTAGATAATACAATCTTCAAATATATCTGTCCTGGACTGTTGCGACAAGAGACGCTTGTTCGTTAGTGAATACCGAAATTGTTTAGCTCATTGTCCGATCATTCAATCAGTACCACACTGCAAGCATGCACCTCGACGTGACCGTTCCGCGGGTCCTTTGGGAAGTATCCTCCTCTGGACTCAAAACAAAACCTTTCTGGCAGCATTGATTCCTGAGAGATCCCACCTCTGCGGCGCCGTCTTGTCCATCCAAACCGACCAGTTCCCCCAAAACGCCGGGCGCATAATCTGCGCGTACTCCCAGTATTCAGGATACCATCCCGCGTATTCCCAGTCGATAAGACCGGTGACATTGTTCTGCTCGTCCACGAGGATATTGCGCGGCGCAATATCTCCATGCGTGAACACCGAGCGCTCCGAACAGGGTAGCATATCCAGTAGCTGGTTTTCATACCGAGTCCCTGCATGATAGAGATATCGCTCGTAGATTCTCGAACGTAGGTCGGAGTCGCTTGAAAGTGGTCGAGGGGGGTCTTGTAGATCTTCCAGCATCGCGTCCCGGGATGGAGAGCCATCTGCAGCACACTGATAAAGCCCTTCGAGCTCTTGTGGGCGGGCGATCGTTCGGATCTTCGAGATCAGATCCCAGAGTTGAAGGCAGACTGATTCTTTAGCTTCGTCGTCTAGGCTATCCCATTTCCGCTCTAGGGTTATTCCGGGAATGATAGTCATCCCAATAATTCCTTCCGGTGGTCGGAAATCGGGCTTGAAATAGTCTTTCGGAGTCGTAATCCCTTCATCTGGATCGAAACGGGTGAAAAGGACTTCGGGGACCGGAACATCGGTCTGGTTATAGACAAGTTTCATCGCTTCGGCTTCGGGAGATCGCACTCCAATTCCTGACTTGGTGACCCAGGAAGAGTCCCACTCAATCACAAGTCGGCCCATTTGTTTATCGAGCACAGCAATCAGCTCTCGGGTATCCTGGGGGTCGAGGTCGAGTGGACTTAGAGACCAGGCACATGGTGCTATCATGTTACCATTTTTGATGTATCGGTGCCCCTTGTGCAGATTCTGTTGTTCATAGGGAATTTCAGTTGAATATTGGGTCATTTTGTGGGTAGTTTCGTGATCCAGTTATCGAGTTTACCTGAATGGCAATGGTGAGGTGGTGGGAATCTGAGAAGTGAGCGAGGCAGCACTTGCTTACATAACCATTTGGACGTCCCGACTGCCATAACTAACGTAATTCCCAAGCGAGCTGCGCAGCGCAGAACACATAGTAAAATCGATAAATTACAATATGATATCTCAATAACGGTTATCTATATGAGCTTTTCCTTCTAGCCTAATGCTTTTAATATGATATCTAGCCACTTATGAGGGTTTGGAGGGATTTAATAAACTAGTGAATGAGTAGTGATAGAGAAATAAATATTTCTAGGGTTCAGCGATATATTTTTTGATACCATAATAATGCAAGTTTTCGATTTATTTAAAACTGATATATAACACTATAAATACTTATCAATTACTATCGGACAGTAATGAAATTAAATAAAAGTGTTGGTTGTTGAAATACCATGTTATAATTTATCGATTTTACTATGTGTTCTGCGCTGCGCAGCTCGCTTGGGAATTACGTTAGTTAGTTAACTATCCGGGACCTTCTAGTTATAAAATGTCAAGAATGGGATATGGCCCCTCTAGGCCCTAAACAAGAACCTTGGTTTTTGTTATGGTCTAGTGGTAAATTACGCTGTACGAAATTCGACATAAAACAACAAATATATTAACTTAATTAACAGTCAGCGAGTCGGGACGGAATCAAAGCGCCCCTCTATGTGGCATATAACTTTGCACAATTATGTATTCCTGCAGACACTACGGAATAAAGTGTTTTCATACGCACTCTGGTCTTTTTTAATCCCAGTTCAACGGTAAACTGAGCTCCCAAGAGTCCAGGTGATCAGGACAACTCATGCCCATGGGTGCATTTTTTCCTTTGTCAGCCCAGTCGAATGAGCGCAATTCCGTCCGCTGAGAATCTTACTGGCAGCTTGAGCCGCCCCCGGTCGTGACTCCGACTCGTAGCAATGGCCTGGTTTGAAACTTGGCATTCATGGTTGCAACTGTTGGCGAATTACATATTGTCATTGCTATTCAAAAAGGACAAGACGTGACAATCTAATGGAATGTTCAAGTATCAGTAAGTGCTTTATTTGAACAAATCTAGATGTGTTGGATCCATGGATCAGTCTAACTTGATGTAAGTTTGCCTTGCAATATCTACATACAGTATGGAAGAATTAGCTCGCCATGTGCGTGACATACATGACTAGAGTTTACATGATCTTGTCTTCATTCAACATATGGAGTGGATACAATCATTATCCATTATCTACATACTAGTGCCAGAAGTGGGACTGTACCCACAAGCTTGTTTCAAGTTTGAATGTGGGCGACAGTAGGACTGGGAAATATCTATGTCCCCAATAAAGATGCCGTGTTAGCCACAACTTTCGCTTCATGAATGTATAGCATCTCTTCTTTCTTTTATTCCCACTGGTTAACCATAAAACTAGTTTCACTTTCCACCGAGCTGTCGAACTCGGTGGTTTGGCCATGGACCCCGTAAGATCAAAGCCTCTGCTGACGAAGATAAGCGTGAGATATGACCAAAAGCTCGACAATGAAGTGAGAATCACTGGATTTCCTCACAAAATTGGTATCTATCATACCGAAACAGATTGATTAGGATGGCTGTGCATCCACGTGGTAGACTATGATTAAAAATGGGAATGACCAGTGTCGAGGAGTATAATCACCAGACAATAGTTGCTTATACCAACAGTGGAACGTGAGGAACTGGCATTAAATTGTGTACTTTGGACCAAAATCAAGGGAGTTTGGCCGGATAGCTCATGGTCCAATCAATACAATTTGTTTACCGCGCTATGACACAGTAGATCATTTTTGCAATAGGCTAATAGGGATATGAACCTCCAATCCTCCTAATTATGTATCCATCGACTCGCTGAATCACATAGTGGGGTTGTGTAAATCAGGGAAAATCCCGCGGGCTCAGCCGCGGGATGACATTTTGATTTCTTTGGACTTTCCCGGTTTCTTTCTTTGATCGGATGTCGTATATCCCACATGTTACCCCACCTCGTGTCATCTTTGAGGCTCTTTATCCTTTCGATGTCAACCAACTTGAAGAACTCGCGCTCCTTGCGCTTGATAGTCGCCCTTGCAATTCCCTTCACATTCATTTGTTATCTCTACTCGTGGAGACAATCACCCATATTGGTCTCCAGTCTCGCCGTACCACAGTCTTCCGAGACAACTACAACCTGCACAGCGATATCAGTGCCTCTAAAAGAACCCTCGAATAACGACAATAATCTTACTACCCCCGCTGCACGCAATTATACACTGCCAGACAAGATCTGGCATTCCGCCAAGCTTGATGATATATCAGAAACTCAACGCGGATGGACCGGCAGCTGGACCAGAAAAAATCCCTCTATTCGCCAAGAATTATTGACCGATCGATCCGCCGAAGCATTCGTTCGCGCTCATTACTTCAAAACACGACCGGATATTGTGGAAGTTTATGAAGCCCTTCCAATTCCGATCCTACGTGCGGATCTTTTCCGTTACTTGGTTGTTCTCGCCGAAGGCGGCATTTGGGGCGATTTAGACACCTCGTGCGAGAAAGAGGTTGCCGAGTGGGTACCCGTAGAATACCGAAATGAGAATATCGATATGATTGTCGGATTGGAGTTCGACTTTGAATGGCGAGGACCGGGGACGGGAGTTGCTTCCCAGTTCTGCAATTGGGTATTTGTTGGACGGAAGAACTCGCGCAACCTGAAAGTTATTGTTGACACTGTCATCAATAAATTGGGAGGCATTGCTCAAGAGAACGCTGTGGGAATCGAAGGGATTACCCTAGAAATGCTTTCGGACGTGGTCGACGTGACGGGACCTAAGATTATGACGATCGCGATCCTGGAGAGTCTCGGACAATTACTCGGTAGGACCGTCGATGATCGCGATTATGCACACACTAAGCGGCCCAAGCTGGTTGGTGATGTTTTGATCATGCCTGGAGTCTCTTTCGCTGCTCTTCAAAACGGGAACCCGATGAATCAAGGTGACGCTCTCGTGACGCATCATTACGAGGGCTCGTGGAAGAAGGAAGATGCAGAAGCAAAGGAGCGGAAAATGCAGAAGCAAGAACAAGATCAGCAGCAAGAAGGATCATCGTCACCACCACTACCTGCTACGGCCTGATTAGAATTACAATCCTGAGCGAAGAGCAGCGGGCTGCTTTGCTTTTGCCTTGTTATTTCTTTTTTTCATTCCCCGGGTGGGAGTAATTTTTCGCTAGAATCCCGAAGAGAGAGAGACAGGATTGGAGATTCAAAGGAACATACTATGTAACTATCATGAGAAGTTTTATTTATTTTCGGGTTATGCTACTATTTAGCATGGTATAATCAAATATCGTGTTTTCCCACTTATTATCAATCCCCGATCAACGGAAATTCAAACAGAGACCAAGATTCGGGGTTTTAGCCGCCCATTCCAACCCAAAAAGAATAAAAGCGTCGAACTAAGTACATAATGAGACAGCGGATGATTAGTACGCTAAAAGCGAAGACAGGAGAGTCCGGTCAGAATAGCAAGAGAACTAGGTGCAAATTTACTGCGAATGGTAGAAACAAATTAAGGTAAAAGAAAGCACGTAGCACGTGATGAGCCTCTACCCTAGGTGGATCGATAAAAATAGCATGCCAAGTCGGATCTTGCCGACCTCGGGAGCAGATCACTTTGCTGACTGGTGGAGCTGTATCTATACATTACTCCACTTGGAAATTGCCAAAGCTTGACTCTGCCAAGAGAATATCGAGACAAACGCAAGGCATCTGGGTATAAACCAGACGAGCTTTGAAACGTTATCCACTGCAAGTAACCGAAGGATACACACTCCGAGCGCTACTACAAACAGCAGATTAAGGTACCCGGGCCTTAGTATACGGTTGTACCTAATCGAGGTTTTAACGCAGTATGGGAACAAATGAAGATAATTTACTGTGGAGGAATAAGTACAGTGTAAGACGCACAACTCCTCCGTCGTTCTTTCGATATTGTATTCATTATTGAAATGAATCCAATGTACGAGTGTATACTCGCAACTCTTCAGACGATTTATAGAATATAAGGCGATCAGATACGACCTCGTTGCTTCCTATTTCGTGTTTTGCATTGCATCAATATGACAATGTGATTGGATTCTTCGCCGGGAACGTGGTTGTGAACAAAATCGACGAGACGATTGATTCCGCATTTCTCAAAGTAGCGGTGCGCGATATAAATTTTACGTTGAGGTGCGGGATACAGGAAGTCCTTAGCCATAGGCTATGCAACTATCGACTTCTGTGATTACAACATGTACGAGTGGTGTGGAGACAGCATATTCGAGGACTCTGGTTACAAAAATCTCACAGAGCAGTACAAGAATTATACTGTCCCAATATTCTTGGAATATGGATGCAATACGGTCAGGCCTCGCAAGTTCGGCGACATCTCTGCCATCTTTGGACCTGAGATGGAAAATGTCTGGTGTAGGAGTATTGTCTACATGTACTTTAAAAGTACCAGCAACTACGGGCTTGTCTCTGTCAGCACTCGGCCAGACTTCAGCTATTACTCAAAGGCAGTTCAGACTGCGACTCCCAGCAGTATCAACAGCGGCAGTTACACCCCCGCAAACTCTCCATATGTCTATCCCACCGTCGATAACATGTGGTTGGCAAAGTCCAATCCCTTACCACCATATCCGAACAAAGAACTGTGTTCCTGCATGGTGGATAGTCTTTCGTGTGTAGTCAGTCAATCACCAATACGGAGACTTGTTTAGGACAGTGTGCGGGAGCGACAAGAGCGCCTGAGATCGCCTTTGGATTCCAAGAATGCAACCACGGGACAGTACAGTACCTACGATGCCTGCGCCAGCAAGGACCAATTCTCCTATGTATTCGACCGCTACTATCAAGGCCAGAAGAAGGACCAGTCGGCGTGCTATTTCAAGGGAGCGGCGTCAATCCAGTCTTCCAAGGATTCTTCCGGAAGTTGCAGGGCACTTCTCAACCAAGCCGGCACAGCTGGACCAAACCAGGTCGCAGGTCCAGAGGGACGGGTGCCAATACGATGCGCCCAGCTATTCTGTTGCTCTGTTTTTGGGTGACAATGCACTTTTTCTGTTCGGTCATGGCCACTAGCCGCATCTATAGATTAGCTAGGTACCGCCGTCGTTAGTTGACGATCGCCCTCTTGATCAAGTTATCTATTGATAGTAGATATTACCAGAGTCCCACTCGTGTGCAACTCCAATAGTTGAAACGATATTGAATTTGAATCACTCCAGATAGCTAGGTGCAGAAGTATTGGTTATAACGATTTTCTCACAGCGTAGAGTGAAAGCCGCGATAATCAACATTGTCGGAGAACCCGGTGACCTGATTAGTAATCATGTGTCCCCGCCCCACGTGGGGCCTAAGACCATTACAATTTTTTTTACAAAAAATTACAGATCTTCCTCACGCCAACATCCCATCGCATTCCCCTCTTTGAACTATTTATCCCGTTTCAGACGTCAAGTCAAATACCGTAAAAATGGGCAATGTAAGAAGGAATCCCCAAGTCATACAGACGACGCCAGACCACCTGAGCTCTTTATTTGGGCTTATCAACGCGCAGTGAACTAACAATACTCGATAGGGAGCCAAGGCAAGCATGAAGCGCGAGCGCAATGCGAAGGACCAGAAGACCGCTAAGTCGCAGACTAAGAGCGTACGTCAAGTTATATCCAACCCCCATATTGTCTCTCCAGCCGCTGACCCACATCCTTGTCTAGAACGAGAAAGCTATGAACATCCAGTGCCAGGTCTGCAGACAGACTTTCCTCCAGACCACCAAGGCGCCTGCGTATGTGATTACACATCCCAGTCCTTTGCGAATGCCTTCCGGTCTTGTCTGTGTATATGGTTCCTTGCTAACATACGTATTCGCGCGGCTATAGCCTCCTCGAGCACGCCTCCAACAAGCACAGCAAGGGTCTTCCCGATTGCTTCCCCGGTATCAGCGCATAGGAAATCACCCCGGTGGAACCGAACCAATCCTCTTTACGATATCACGGGTTAGCATGGCTTTAGGAGTTTTGATGGGAAGCGAACATATCTAGCAACTGGAGTTGAGAGTGGACACTCTACGTAGGCAACTATGTAGGTGTAGGTGGTGAGATCATAATGGGGTGTACATGCGGTGGTGATGTGAAAACCCCTTATGATTATAGATGCAGTCGACGATACATGATCTTTCTCTCCCTCCATGCTCACTAATTTTCCTACAGTACCAACAGAAGGTGGTGAAACCTACACGTACGGGGATTAGATATAGTCGTAGACCTGCTGGGCGAATAAAGGTCGTAGGATGATATCGTTTTGGTATACTATAGTACAACACATTCTACAATGAATTTTTATTGATCATGTGGAGCTTACTGGGTATTATCAATTAGCACAGTCTAAACCGACAATTATCTACCAGACCCAACACAGGACTATGATTAAATTGTGATACAGAGTAAAGACTTAGTGATATCAACTTAGCAATTTGATTGAGAACTCGAGTATCGTACCATCGAGCCATATTCACATGAAACATGTTGAATGATATCATGGGAGGGCCCGGGCACTGAATACAAAAGGTAATGACAGAAAAGCAGCAACAACATCTCTCTCGCGCGCGTCTCTTGAAAGCCAAAGATAACGAATAGCAGTATCTGCCTCTCCATGTTCAAGTGACATGGTACACTGATGATAGTATGCACCTCTCTCAGATTGGCTCGACCATTGACCTTGCCATCTCAAGTTTCGCAGTTGGAACAATTCCCATTTCAACCAGCTTGGTGATGATACGCACAGTCCATCCTTGGGAGTTCTCCGTGACAGATTGCCTGTTGGCCGCTTGAGGGGGAGGTTCTTGCTCTGCGACCTGTCTCACCAGTTCTTCCTGTTCCTCTGTCACACTGGCCAGATGATAGATGTTCAGAAAGGAGACAGAGTGGACAATATTGACATGCTTGGGCGAAGGTAGGTACCTCATATGCTCTGCATCTCCCTTGACCTGATACACAAGCCCGTATTGGTTCTCACGGGCAATGAACAGTGACCAGTGCAGAGGTTCCCCATCATTTTGTGCCTGATGAACAAGAGAGATGTATTTGGGGGATGGAACAGGCGCATTGGCTTCACAGGTCTCTCAATCCATTGCTGTGTGCCGATTTTCCTGCTGAACTCACGACCGTCGACCTTGCATGTCTCCCTAAAACCAATGACACGTATGGGAGCCGTCGAGGTTGGATAGCCGCTCATTTCTGGTGGACATAAGTATTAGTACATTGTAATCCGTGAGGTTGGGCATTTTTGCTGATACTTACCTGCGAAGCAACTTGGTTGCTCGAAATATTTTTGTCTTCAGCTTGAGCAAAGTCTTAGTAACAGTCAAGAAGCGCGGGTTGGCAGATTGCTGAAAGAAAGATCGTATCATCAGGGATTGCTCCAGTACTTATGCTTTCGCCATATCAACAAACAGCAAGTGCGACCCCGTGATGTCTTAAAATGGAAGGAAACATCTACTGACGATAGTGCCTTCCCCAAAAAGCCAACAAGGGGAGATTTACGAGCACGTAGAAGTTCATCTTGTAAACATCCCATGTCCAAATGTTTTTCCTTGCTTGTCCTCGTCTCCGAAGGGGACATCGTGTTGATTCTCCGATTGGCTTCGCACAATCATACCAAGATGGTCAAATGGAGAATGTGGATGGTCCCAGGGAGCGAGCCTCAGGCAAGGCTCAGCCTAATACTTGATTTCATATTATACTTGGCTAACTTGAGATACCACAGGCCCTGCACTAGGATCAACTGCAAGACATATGCAAGGTCATAGGCGGAGATCTACAAGTCTTTCGCGTCTCCGTCACCGATTCTCGAGAGAATCCAGACAGTCTGGGGAAAACCGTCCCATCTTTCCCTTCTCGCTCAAGCCAAAGCCAAATGGACCTAAAGGGACTACAGGGCTATCAATGGTCGGGGACATGGGAAGCAGTCTGATGAGCGCGCGAGGGTACGACAGTGATGCCCAGTGCATTGGGAGTCCTCAGCATGCCCCCCATATGAGAGCGTCACCCAGAAGCCCGGCATATCGTAGAATGGGGTTGCAGGACCTAATAGAGCGCAGTCGTGAGCGAAATGATTTGGAGATGTTGACGGGTGCCAAAGGCCATGAACAATCCGATACCCCGGGAACTCCCTTTGGGATGCATTATATACCCACACCACCAGGAAGTTTGAGAGGGCGCTCAGCTCACCCCACCTCTGCAACCGAACACACAGGGAGCCAGTCCGTGCCTTCATTCAAAAATGAGCGATCGGGGGAGCAAAGCACATTCACAAAATCTCTTCCAAGCCTTCATGCCAGTCAAGAAGAATTGGTTCGTCTCCGATCTCGAGAAGGCTTTATGGGCAGCAGCAGCGGTGAGAACCTTCAAAATCTTGTGGCTGACTGGGCTCATTACATGGGATCAAACCCTAATGATTATCGCGCGGCATCTTCCGCATCGCTAGCCAGGGAAGATCCGGGCATTATGGTTCGCAAAACACGACAACCAACTAGTTCTCTCAGGACACACGCCGAGGCCCGAGTACCTCATCTGGGTGATCGTGATCTAGACCTTTCGCACAGACTCGCGGGAACAAGCATGGGGTCCGAGCCGCCATCGACTAATGCATCCATGTCGGAACTTCCACGTGCGAATCGATATGGGCTACAAATGGTATCACAGGAGAACTTTCAGCCTCATGAGAGGTCTGGAACGGCAATCATGGGTCTCGAGCCCCACAACCAGGCTATGTCTCATCAACGAGATGCGTCCTCTTTTTATTCGCGCCAAAGCAGTGACCCTTCGCGGGGAGCATCTGCCGTTCAATCACTGAGAGTTCATGCTGCAAATGCAATTGATAGCTTGCCCAATATTCATACACAAATGGCAGCTGAGATTTGCTCGGTCGAAGATGAACTGGAACCAGGTACCGAGGCTCTGAAAAGCAAGTTTGTTGAGCAACTTGATACGCCAAACTGGGGATCGCCCCAGAGTCATGGCATTTCCAATGGCGCCAACGGTGCCGGACCACATCGCAAAGTTAGTCCCGGCTGGATGACCGGGGGCCGGCGAATGGGCTATGGGTATAGCTTGGTGGACAATGCTGAGGATCACAGAGACACTCCCAGGCTGAGGCCTGACAGCCAACAGTCTCCTGTGAACCAAAGTCCTACTAATGTCAAGGCAGAACCCGTTTTGACACCATCGATGTGGGCCAAAATGAAGAGCTATTCGGTTCGAGGTAATAGACACGCACCGCTGGCAGTGGACTTGGCTGGTGAAGGAATGACTGCCGGCCGTGTAAACTCGATTCGCGCGCAGCACATTGAGTCGCCAACTTCGGAAAAGACACCAACTTCTGCAAAGACGCCAAATTCCGGAAGCAGCTTTTATGTCGAAGACGTTGACGAAACCTTTTTAAGTCGATGGGCGAAAATCAGCCGGTCCACACGCCAACAATCACAACCAGAGAAGTACAACAATTCAACCCATGGGCGTGATGTCTGTACCCGGTCCCCAGATGCTTCACCACTTGGTGAACGCCGCTTCTCGATGGATCAGACAAACCACCAGCCCTCTGTGTACTTCGATCCGTCGAATGACAGGAGTGCAGACAGATTAAATGGAGAACCTTCCCGCTCCCGTAGTGGACGTTGGGTACTGAAGTTTTCCAGGAACAGGGAGAGCAAGAGACGCTCGAATCTCCCTCCAAAAGAACTATCCGATGAATCGCCAGTGCAGTACCAGGAGCATCTATCGAGTGACCTGGGACGAGCAAACTCTACCAGAAGTGATATGGCAGAGGAGCTCGCGAGTGCGTATCAGGAGTGCATTGGGATGCCCGGGGCTTTCTATGGAAGCCGGTGGGCGAGCCGAACAAGTCTAGTGGTGGAGGCAGAGTGACCAAGACGCATGGCAACGATCGTCACAGGAGTAACGAGGGTGTATTGGTTGGACAGGCATAAAAATACTGTTATCAAGGACTCTGAGCAAGTTCTGCTGTTATTGTTACTCGTGCGGATGGAGTTTGGTTCAATCATGAGTATGTTTCCCAAACCGGGTGTCATTAATCGTACAGAAATATGGGTAATTGATCCCTAATACATCTTACACTTCTCACACGCTCAGAATAAGGGTGTAATTTTATCACCAGTAGGGAAGCAAATGATCTATCTCCGCTGCCGCTTGTTGCTCTTGTCGCTTACGGCACTAAGCACACTAGCAGACCGCTTGTGATTACCACCCCCTTGTTGAGCACCTTGGGCAGTAGAGTGACCCAAAACGCCGGTGTCGCCATCTTCATTCTCCTTTTTCACATGGGGATGCCCGGAGTCAGCACTTGGCCCCGAGATACCAGCAGCTTCTCGTAATTTGCGCTCGCGCTCCATCTTCGAGGCTTCGAGTACACGGATCTCACTTTCGACCTTTTCGGACACCTTGCGAGCGTCGAGGAGCATGTTGACAGACTGAATGAGTTTCTCGAAATCCTTGCAGACGCGTTCGGTGGGCATGAACAGGCGCACCGGGATCTCGAGCTCGGATAGAGCATTGGCCAGTTTCTGGGTTTGCACGTTGGACTTGGCCTGCGTGAGTCGCTGTGCGCGGTCACTGCGGAATTGCACGCCTGCCGAGACACGATCGTGGTGCTGGACGCCGTACCTCGCTTCCTCTGCTGGGGTAAGCGTGCGTACCATTTGATTGGTTTCCCTTGATGTGATGGAACCCTTCTTGTTTGCGGCCTGTGTGACGGGGGTATCGGCTCGGCCCATGCCACCCGCAGTGGTTGGAGTCTGGCCAGCGGGGCTTTGGATGGCACCGTCGCCGAGGATGGAGCGGCGTTTCTTGCTCTTGTCGGCTTGTAGAAGAGTCTGTAGGAGCTGGGAAAGACCCGCGCTGGATTGGTACATTGTGGTGTTGCCGACGCTGATGGGAACCTCGAGGCGAGAGTAGAGTTCCCGGCGTTCGGTGATGAAGTTCTGCTCGTTGCTTGTGATGCGCTTCAATTCTTCGAGTAGCATTGCCTCCTCGCGGACCTCGTCGGCTGTGCGGTTAAGCTGAAGGGCGGCTAGTTCTTTGCGGTCACGCTCTCGGTCGGGGTCAAATTTGAGCATCTTTTCGTGTAGTTCGAACTCGGCCTCGGACATCTCTGAGGGTGGATGTTCAAGTGAAAGCATTGTTGCAGCGATGTAATAGTAACGCGCTTTCATCTGCTCCATTGTCCGGTGGTGCTTTGCGGGCACAAGGGCATTCGCATCCGGCTGTGTGTCCATTCGTGGTTGGTAGTCATAACGATCTGCGATCAGCACCCATCGAATGTCGTAATCAGTGACGAGGTCCACCAGATAGTCCGTTTCCTCGCGCGACCAGTCATCACTTGTAAGATGTCGATTGTACTCGTCATCTGTGTACCGACGGGGCAATCGCGGTTTGACGTTATACTTAGCAAAGGCATATTCTTGTTCCGGCAGTTTCGGTACGTCCTCTTTCTCTTCTTCCTTGGGCTGATCCACTTCCATTTGGGACTCTGAGGGTGCGGGTGCAGGTGTGGGAACAGGTGGTCGGGCTGACTCGTGTTTTCGCTGCCAGTGGTTCAAAACCAGGCCGTCGGAACGGGCATTGTTCGTGAACGGGGCCATGCTCCTATATGGGATTCAATGTCAGCGTGCATTCGGATATACAAAGAGCCCCATCTTCAACATACCATGGTCGAACGCGCAACTTGTTCATCCATTTTGGACGACCCTTGTACTTGTTCTCATTAATGGCGATTGGCGGCGCCCTTTCGCCCAGTAGCGCGTACAATTCACGGGTAATACCCTCTTCAACAACAGCCTGTCAGTAATCTATCTTATTTTCGGGGAGCGCAATACACCTACCTGGTCGCTTTTCGACAACTTTCTGCTTCTTGTGCGGTCTGGGCTGCCCTTCTGCGGGCAAATCCAGCATGTCGCGAACATCGGCCGCGGCCATATTGGCGGTGGGTGTGGTGATCTAGACACGACACCAAGGAGTGATTCTTCGATATTTAGCGATTAAATTTTAGTAAGCGACCACGAAAAGATAAAAGTAGATTTTGTTTGATGAAATAAAGACTAGTGAATGTCGAAATTGAAGATCACATCGACAGAGGCTTCCCGCTGGAAAGGGAGATATTCCGGAGACGGCAGGCGGTGAGGAGCCACGTCCCATGTTGACACCTTCACGGAGAGGAGTACTTGGCCGTGCGACTATCCAATTGCCCATCTCCTCATCATGGTTTTCTCTGGGACATCCTCGTCATGGCTGGCGTCAGCTTTGGCTCTCCTATCCTTCTTTTCTCTTCTTCTGCCGACTAATGCCCTCTACTTCTACATGGAGGGCCGGCAAACAAAGTGCTTCTTCGAGGACCTGCCTAAGGATACTCTAGTAGCCGGTATGCGCATCTCTAGAGACTTTACAAAGGAATTTGAAACTAACCTATGTTGTTAAATCACAAATAGGCCGTTTCGAAACTGAAGTCCTGAACCCCCAGAGCGGCATCTACGCGGTCGACCATAACTTGAAGATGCACATCACTGTCGAGGAGACCTTCGACAATGACCACCGCGTCGTATCCAAGCGGGATAGCCATTCTGGTCGCTTCCACTTCTCCGCCGCGGATCCCGGCCAGCACAGAATCTGCTTCACACCTGAAACGGACGCCTCCTCCGGCTGGTTGTCCAACTCTTTGGGCGCCGTCAAGGTCACCGTCGACCTTGCCATTGGTGAGACCAGCAAGATTGAGCCTGAGGACAAGGACAAAATCAAGGATATCGTGCAGCGGGTCAAGGATATGAACAGCCGATTGCACGATATCCGTCGTGAGCAGGTGTACCAGCGGGTAAGGATTTCCCAATCCAATCTATGGCCAGAGTCTCTCTAGGTGATTGGAGTGGTAATACTAATGTTTTTTCTACCTAGGAACGTGAGTCTGAATTCCGTGACCAGTCTGAGACCACCAACTCGCGAGTCGTGCGCTGGACTCTTATCCAGCTCGCCGTTTTGTCCGCCGCATGTGCCTGGCAGCTTTCACACCTGCGGTCATTCTTCATCAAGCAGAAGTTGACTTAGATGCCGCGTTGTCTTATTCCCTACAGCATACCTCGTTTCTTATGCCTTGCATCTTCCTTCCACCTCTGCTGTGGTCACGCACGTCGGTTTACGTGAATATTGATGATTGGTGCTTACATGTGTTGTTATACTGTTTTCCTAGCGAACGGCAGATCTTTAAATTCTAGTCGGAGGCCTTTCGACTTCTCGAGACCCCTTTGTGAACTCGTTGGGCCACAAGGCCAGTGTTTCAGCAAAAAAAGGGTGCGGAGTGCTTGGAGCGTGGTAAGATGTCGATCTTGATAATGGATGTAATGATATCTTTTCTTCTATTCCCTTGTCTTGCGTAGATCGTCCAGGAAACGACATTGCCCATACCAACGACCTCAACCTGTGGACATATGGCATGTCTCTAGGGCTACTCTGTACTCTGTCCTACAGCTCACGTCATCAAGAATAGAGGCCTCATACACGGTCGACTACTCTTTTAATGTTTATTCAACATAGTCTTCGAATTTCTGATGGAAATCATTGATTTGTAATTATTTTTATCTTCATTTGTTATGTGCATGATCGTCATGTCATGGTTCATTCATATCAATGGTATCTCACGCCGACTTGGTCTCCACGTGCTCTTCATATTGTACTTGTTCCTTTTGCACCGCGACCTTGTCAACAACTCCACGTTTGACATCCTCGCCCTCAAACAGATAAGCGAGTTCTTCGAGCGTAGGACCGGCCGTCTCAACGAAGAAGAAGTAGACCACGAGGAAGACAACAAGCACCCAGACACAGTAGTAGATGTAAAACTTCCAGCCAAGGTTCTTGAGGCCGATAGGGTTGACATAGCTTCCGAAGATCGAGGCCACCTGAATAGTCAGGAGCACAAATGCCCATGTTTTAGCGCGCATCTGAAGTGTCACAACTTCCAGCGAATAAGTGACAATCAGATTGGTCCACGCGAAAGTGTAGAATGCCTGGAAGAAAAAGATACAGGCAATCACGACACGACCGGCCACTATAGAGTTGTGCTCAAGATATTGCTGGGCAGCGATTGTCCACACGACGAAAGTGACAACAACACCACCGGAACCGGTAAGAAAGAAGAATCGACGGCGGAATTTATCGATGACCAGTGCAACGAAGATCGCGACGAAATACTGCCAGAGGGTGACCATTCCGTTCACAAGTGTAATTTCGGACTGGGTCTTCAGGCCCGTGTCTTTCAAGATCTGGGTCAAGTAATTCGAAACGAGCAGGTTGCCTGAGCTCTGACTGAAAACGGCTGTAGCGAAGCAGAGGAACAGGCGCTTGAGGTTGGCGGGAGAGGAGAAGAAGTCCTTCCAGCTCATGTTGTTCTCTGCTTCTTTGTCGATGGCCTGCTGAATTTCGGCGCATTCCACCGCGACCAGCTCCGAGTTGGGGTCACATTCACCATGGAACTTGATTAGGATCTTGCGGGCTTCTTCGAAACGACCCTTTGCAATCAACCAACGGGGAGACTCGGGGCAGAACCAAATGAGGCAGAATTGGTAGGCCGAGGGAGCAACTTGGATCAAAGTAGGGAGCCGCCATGACCACTGACTGGTGATCCTGTAACAACCATACGTTGCCCAGGCTCCAATCACATAGCCAAGAACGATGGATGTATTGTAGAAAGTAGTGACTTGTACACGTTCCTTGGGGTGGGACAGCTCTGTGATCAAAACAGGTGCGCCCATCTGGATGAGCGAAGATCCCACACCTAGAACGATCTTGCCGCCAATGTACATGTTCAAAGAAGTGGCAAAGAATTCGACAAGCACACCAACGATGATGACAACAGACCCTAGCGCAGTGGGTAGGCGACGACCGAATTTATCACTAATCCAGCTGAGAAAGATAAATGGGATGACACCACCAATGGCGTTCGAGGCTCCAAAGAAACCCAATGTAGCACCTTCTGGGTGTCCAAATCGATCTTGCCAGGAATCCAAGACTTGCATGCCGTTTGTCATGGACTGCGATAGATCGTCAGTAAAACGCACTCCAGTCTTGAAACACTAGAACTCACCCCATCAATTCCGAGAGCCGCACTTGCTAGTAGAGACGAAGTGAGCAGGAAGTACAGCAGAATACCATTCTTCCGTCGCCAGAAAGGCGGCATAGAATCCACGTCAATGGACGAGATAATGTTCTCGGTGGCATGAGCGGCAGTAGGAGCCATGATTGCAGACTTCAATTGAGACTAAGACACAAATGAAGTGGACTTGCCTATGATCGAACGATGGGGGGTCTTAGCCCGAAGGCTTCTCTGCACTTCTTATAGAAGAGACAGCCGGGTGGATACAACGAACTCTACGCATTCCGACAACCCTAGAGGTGTTCACGTGCTGAGAGAAACGTGGATTCCGTATTTCTGCGGGGAATTACCCCGTGGAGAAAAATGTGAAGTCTGGAGATTCGGGGAATCGGCGAAATGCCAATTTTACCGTTTATCCTTCGATGGGAGCTCTCCACTTCAACGCCACAATTCCCCGGCTATAAGGAATATAGCTTTGAATTTTCTGCTTGGGTACAGAGCTCTGTCACCTTCTTCTCTTTCAAAATACTTCACATTGTTTCTGTGGCTCTGTGTTCGACATTTGCTAATATGTCAGTACCCCTGCCCCCCGATTTCGAATGGGGATTTGCAACAGCCTCATATCAGATCGAAGGAGCTGTGAATGAAGATGGCCGTGGGAAATCGATCTGGGATACTTTCTGCCACCTTGAGCCTACAAGAACCAAGGGAGACAATGGCGACGTCGCTTGCGACCACTACCACCGATTTGAGGAGGATTTCGATCTTCTCTCCAGATACGGCGCAAAAGCATACCGATTCTCAATTTCCTGGTCGCGGATCATTCCGCTAGGAGGAAGAAACGACCCAGTCAACGAAGCAGGCATCGCGTTTTATAACAAACTCATTGATTCGTTGCTTGCCAGGGGAATCACGCCATGGGTCACTCTCTATCATTGGGATCTTCCTCAAGGCATTCATGATCGATACGGAGGTTGGTTAAATGTGGAGGAGTCGCAGCTTGACTTTGAGCGGTATGCAAAGATTTGCTATGAGAGATTTGGGGACCGAGTCAAGAACTGGATCACGCTGAATGAGCCGTGGATTGCTTCTATCTTCGTATGTTTCTCTAGTCCCTTGTCCTTTCTTTTTTATCCTTTCAGATAGCAGCTAACACATGTCTAGGGATACGCCACTGGCGGAAATGCGCCCGGGCGTAGCAGTATAAATCCGCAGTGCACGGAGGGCGATACTACTACGGAGCCATGGATTGTGGGGAAAGCCTTGATCATGAGCCACGCTCGCGCTGTCATTTTGTATAACCGGGAATTCCGAGCTTCTCAGCAAGGGCAGATTGGAATCTCCTTGAATGGCGATTACTACGAGCCCTGGGATAATGAGGATGAGCGCGACCACCAAGCTGCTGAACGCCGGATGCAGTTCCATATCGGATGGTTTGCGAACCCCGTTTGGTACGTTTTTTTTTTAGCCTCAGACAGCAAAAGAAGGACACAACTGACACCTTTGACAGTCTAGCACAAGACTACCCCGAATGCATGAGAGAGCAACTCGGCGAGAGACTTCCTAGGTTCACAGAGTCGGACTTTTCTCTGCTTAGGGAGGCCGACATAGACTTCTACGGAATGAACTATTACACCTCCCAATTTGCCCGGCATCGCGACGAGCCTGCCTCTAAGACTGATTTCTTGGGAAATATGGATGAACTACAAGAAAACAAGCAAGGTGTATTGATCGGAGAGAAAAGTGGTGTGCATTGGCTCCTGTCAACCCCGAGCCTTTTCCGGAAGCACTTGACACGAGTATATCGTGCATATGGCAAGCCTATCTATATCACAGAGAACGGGTGCCCGTGTCCTGGTGAAGACAAGATGACAGCTGAAGAGGCCGTCAACGATACCTACCGAATTAAATACTTCGAAGATCATCTCGATGCGGTCGGAACAGCACGCACAGAGGATGGCTCTGATATCAAAGGATATTTCGCATGGTCATTGATGGACAACCTAGGTATGTGTCTTGCTTCATACTTCAAAATCTTTGAGCTAATTCTTCTTTCAGAATGGTCCGATGGATACGGGGTGCGCTTCGGCGTTACCTTCACTGACTACAACACCCTGGAAAGAACGCCGAAGCAATCCGCATTGTTGCTGAAAGGAATGTTCGATAAACGCATGGGTGGCAACGCTTCCGAATCCAAATAGAGCAATGAGACCGGTATACTATAGATGAGCTTTTTTTCTTTTGTTAGATATTATGCAATTGACCTAAAATTCTACTAAAATTCTACAAAGCTAATATAAAGCACCTTCAACCCCTGTTAATCAATGTAAATTAATTAATTAATTAATCAAGGCGCGGAAATACCCCAAGAAAAGAAAAACCTGGGGCATTCGGAGAAATTCGCGGAGTATTTGACCGAGGCTCATCCCCGTTCCCATTTTCCCAACTGCCCTAACCTCCGACGAATTTTGCCGAGACGAAAAATGTGATGGCCAGCCCTGTATCTCGTTCGCGCTCGTCAGCTAGAGCATGCGATCGTTGCCGTCGGAGAAAAGCAAAGGTATGAAGCAAAACCCCGCCTTACCTAGTCTAAACTAATCTGTAATAGTGTGACTGCTCGGGTGAATCGTCAATATGCACCAACTGCCGCTTGGCTCGGATGCAATGCACATTTGACGTGCCGATCGCCAGACGTGGGCCTAAATCCAAGCGACAAAGGTCGCATGATGTGGCTTATCCAAATGTTCCGCATAGTCCCCTGGCACCGGCGTTGCAGGTATCGGAACATGACTCTATAACTCAAAATCTCGGTTCGACCGCCCCGGTTGCAGTTCCGCTAGATGTATGGGACGCCGATATCTCGGTACTTGATCCGGCTCTTTCTCCTGGGACCGTACATACAGCCCAATCGTCTATTTCCGATGTCGCCTCTACAAGAATTACCTCGGCGTTGCAGCGATGGCATACTTTGGAGCGGGTGATTGTCGTGCAGAGCACGTCAGCGAACTTAGAGCGGACTATCAATCATTGCTTCGAGTTATTCTTTGAATATCTATATCCCTTGACTCCACTTGTTCATGAACCCAGTCTACGAGATGGGTTAGGGTTCTTCGTGACCCAAGGAAGGAATTCGAGAGCTGACGGCCTCATATATGGAGTGAATAGTCTCAAATACCCAGAGCTGTGGCCCGATCTTTCTTTCACTTTGATCACTGCTGTCTGCGCGGAAGCAGCTTTTCTTCTTCCGAAAGATATATTTCCCGAGGGAGAGAGAATCGCAGACATATTTCTCCAAGCCTCCAGAAATTGCCTAGCTACATATTTGGAAGCCGATCTTGAATATCCAAATGCCAACTCCGTTGCCATCCGATACTTCCACTCCAACTGCATGCATGCTGCCGGAAAGCCACGACTGTCGTGGCACATCTTTGGGGAAGCCACCCGATTGGCCCAAGTGATGCAGATGCACGAAGAAGATTCACTGCAGGGGCTCACTTCTCTCGAAGTGGAGTTTCGGCGACGGGCATTCTGGATTGCCTATATTGGCGATAAATCGGCAGCCATTCTGAACAATCGTCCGATCACAATTCACAAATACTCATTCAACTCTGGCATCACTATCGGCTATCCGACCGGCATTGAAGATGAAACAATCCTGACACCGGGCAGTGGTGTTCCAGATGCCGAGAGCACTCAAAAGAGTTTTATTGCAGGGTTCAATGCAAACATTCGGCTTTGGCAAAGTGCATCCGATTTGCTTTTAGAGATGCGATTGTTGGATAGTCATAAAAATGGGAATTTACTCCCTCGTCAACCTCCTACGGCAGAAGAAAGTCACAGACTTGACCATCTTTACGTGCTGTTTGTGACGTCTCTCGATGACTTACCCCCCTTTTTACAATATGACCAGCTCATGTCAAACGCCAATAAAGACAATCAACGCCTGTCTAGACTCACAAGACTACATATTATTCAAGCAGCCAACGTTTACGTCTCGTTGCACTGTCTAAAGATGGTAATCACACAGAAATTTGAAGAGTTTAATTACTATCCTTCTGCGCCAAATGAAATGCTGCTACTACGGAAAACTGACATTGCACGCGATCTTCTCCGAGTCATTCGCGATGCTCCTTTCTGGGCATTGCAGATCAATGGCGAACCATGTGTAAGTCGCCTTTCTGCTGTCCTGGTACCAAATGAGCAAGTCCTAATGGCCATATAGGTAGAAAAGATCAGGCTTATAGGAGCTTGTCTGCTCGAGATTATCGATCAGCATGAAGCGTCCCCTCTGTCGGCTCGAGCCCGTAACGATCTATCGGTGCTTCTTGATATACTGACCCGCTTAGACTCGAAAGCGTCGGACACTTTACGACGGTTGTTATGAATACACCATGGTTTTATGTGGCAAATGAATGTATATTAATTGACTAAATTAAATGATACAATACAAAATATAAAAACATACTTCGCTTCCTCCGTATGTACCTACCTATTGTCTGAATCGAGTAAATGATCGGCGTCTGGGGGAAGATTCTGCGATTCCCCACACAATCTATTTCCCCGATTCTCCGTCTCCTTCGGCCAATTGACCTCCAATAAGAATCCCGGTTGAAGATCTCATCCTATAGCGGAAATAGATTCGCATAGTCACGAGCTAGACAAACGGGAAAACGTCTACCAAGGTGGCGTGCACCCTCAGCCCATTATCAGATTTCAAGGCTTTTTCAGGGGGAAACTTCTCGGAATGCGGGGACCCCAGAGACTCGTGATGTGATATAATTCGTGGAAATGGAAATTCGGCAAATACTCGATTCCCGCCTCAAGTCAGAAGCATACAGTATTTATATGAGTCGAGATGTCCGTTTCGTGGCTAGCCAGTCTAATTCGGTATTCAATTCTTTACTTTGAGCTCCCGACATGCGTCTCCACGAGAAATTCGGCCATGTTCTAACATGGACAACGTTGGTGAATGCTCTACCATCGATATCCGGACATACCAAGGAGCCCTCATGTCGTTTTGCGCATCAGTATTCCCAAAAGCAAGTCCTCCGGGATCCTACTGCCTTCATCAATGATATGCTGTATTGGGAGGGCAAGTTCCATCAGAACAACATCTCATACAATAGCAACAATGGTATCTCCTACGATGGCACTAACATCGATTGGGTGACCGGCGAGGCAACAACCAAGCACACGTTCAGTGCTGCCAGCAAAGAGGTTGGTGTTCATTTTCCCATTGTTTGAAAGTCCTCAACTCATATTCCAATAGTCCCTTCAAATCATGCTGTACGCCCAAGCTGTTGCTGGCTCTCCGGGAGCTGCTCGGTTCCTCTCGCCTGAGAATACAGCAGAGGCTCCTAAAATCGCGGCTTCTATTATGCAGAAAAAGTTGCAGACTTATCTCAAATTCAACGAGACTTACCCAGGATTCGGAGGCTTCTTGCCCTGGGTCACAGCGGATGCTCAAGATCTAACTCCAGTGACAGCCTGGGTCAACCGCGTGCCTTCTCTGGATAATGGGTATGTATATTCTTGACCCTCGTTCCAGCTTCCGGGCTAACATTAAGTATCCGTGTAGCGAACTACTATGGGCTGTATATGGTTTCATCCAGGCGCTTGAGAACACAGGCAATAAGAACTATCGGGAACTCGCACAGAAATGGCAGCTTTGGGTGGACTACACTAAAACTACTGCTGCTAAGGTATATCTCTCATGATTCCCCCTTCGATTTTGATTAGTCGCTAATCTCCTGTCTGTTAATCAGATCTTTTACAAAGGCAATGGCCGAGTCTGTACCGTCATTGACATTAAAGACCAATCCCTCCCTGTCAATCACCCGGATCAGTCGTATCTATGCGAGACTAAAGATTTACTGGACGACCCTTTCGAAGGCGAGATTTTCACATTTTGGCTACAATTCTTCGGTGGTTTGTCAAAGGCCGATAAGCAGGCGCTATGGGAAATCAAAAGGCCCCAGCTGGTGAGCGTGGACTACAAAATGGGCGGTTTCGGACCTATCACTGTCCAAAAAGGTTCGTGGATATGAAAGTAAAGACGAGAAGACAGTGACTAATTCTAAGACAGGATTTTGGTTCTCCAGCCACGAAACCTGGAAAGTGATGGAGATGCCCTACTATGACATCGACATTGTCCGGTGAGACTTCAAGCAGAAGGCAGAGATAGCTTTCATATACTAACAGTTTCCCATTTAGTCGCTTATTTAAGAACGCTGAGCGAGTCCGGACCTGCAACTCAGTCGCCACGAAGTTGCCCGGCATGTTCGCTTCAGTTAACAACATCACCGATCCCTCCATCGGCGACGTAACCGGCTACATCTCAAACGCCGGTATCCCCTCCATCTCGAACCAGACTGTCCAGGAGCTAGACGTCATTACGCCGTATAGTGTATTCCCGACAATTTTGGTCGACAAGTCTGTCGGGCTCGCCTGGTGGAGAAATATGGTTGTTGCCAAGAAAATGCAGAGTCAGGGACACCTTTCAGATATCAAGATGGTGTGGTTGGTATGATGCTAATTGAAATAATTCTCCAGATATCTATGGCAGCACTGAATCCACTCGTGTTGATGGAACGGGAGTATCTGCACTTCTCACTTGGGACAGCAAGGTCACTACGGTAGTCGCAATTTTGGGCGGAGTAACCGATCTCGTTCGTCAGAAGATGAAGGTAGATAACGTATATGATGAGTTTGTGGACATTATTGAGGTTTGTGCTCCCGGATACTCTAAGGGACCATGTGGAAAGGGAAGCTGCTAATTTCTTCGTAGACTGAGTACTCTCGGGTCTTCAAGCACCTAAAAGGAGAGAATGTCGACCTCTGCCTCCCTCAGGTGACTGTTCCTGATGCAGGATTGGACGATTTCACACTTTGCGCGTAGAGCTGCCTATGTCAATATGACAATAGGTTCATATAAAAGACATGTTGATCGAATTGCGGATGTATAGGCCTATATTCCATGAGTCTTTTCAACTCATGATATATGCTGGCTCCCTGCAAAATGCAAGAAGTAAGCATTGGTATATGATATCCACTTGTCTAGAGAAATGCAAATTATTTCCTTGGAGCACACATCTTTCTACGTGGTAGTGAAAAATTCATCTTTAGTCATCTGAGGTATCACGCTAAAAGCGCTAATCACGTCCTTCTACCCCAGGCTGTACCCAAGACCGGCTCCTCAACGCCAACGGGGACGACCTCATGACCTTCTCAGATACCCAATGCACCAATCTCTTCAACGGTCTCAAAGCCACTCACGGCGAAGATAGTTTCCGCGAAATCATGCAGGAAATGAGTCGCCGCCACTGTGCCGAGTGGAGGCTGCAAAGTCAGAGGAAACAAAACACACTTCCGTTTGTCTTATGGTGACACCGGCTTCCATGGAGTATGTCCTTGTCTCTCTACTGCCTTCTTCCGCGCCGCGCCACGAGCGCCAAAAAAATCCCCTTTCTTGTTTCGGTGTCCCAGGGAGCGAGTGGCCCGTATCTTCCATAGATGCTAGGTCTAGGTGATGAGGATGTGGCCGGGGCTGGATTCAAAGGAGTATCTTAATGTGGCTGTGGAGACTATCTTGCAATAGTTTTACCCGATTGTCGCGTTGCAGATGATGGATTTGCATACACTGGCGGTGAAGTTTCGTCATGAAAATGATATCCGGTGTTCGAGTGATCGGTGGGGTGCATCATTACGAGGGTGAGGAATCATAAGCCATGATTCTGGTTTGATGTCCGTCTGGGTAGCGGCGCCCACAATGGTGGTTAAGTTATGAACACAACCTGGAGGACTGACACAGATATTCTCTCCGGATAGCAGATTGGTGCAGTATGAACCTAAGGGTTCCCAGTCGTTGCCAGGGCGAACCGAGATTAGAACAATGCGGCTACTTATAATGCTGTAGATAAGACGACTATGTTAGCTTGATTTATATACCCTGTGAGCATCCATAGATGCTTAGTTAATGAGAAGCGTGCTGAATAAGCCCTGGTATGTAAATGTTGGATCAGATTGTTGCAGGCGTTCTGGTCAAACAAAAGAATTCATTCAACGAGGAAACTAGCAACGGGGGAAGGGGAGAAGAAGAGGAAAAGAATAGAAGTTTTGTGATCAAGCGTGATGTGATCACATGCTTATGCATCTAACAAAAACCAGTCGACTCCAGGGCTGGCTAGTTCGCACATGTCTATTAACTAGATCATGGTATTTCCCCGAGCTGAAAAGGGGCCAAAAAATGACAACGATGGTATATGGCAGTTGAAAATGAATAGATCGCCGAGTCAATGCATAACCTAACGTGAGAGGCGCCTGGGCTAAAGAACAAAGCAATTGGGGGTGGGGTCTGTACATGAAAAGAAAAATATCCGCATCAATGGGTATATAATGTCTGGCATGGAAATGCAAGGAAGCAACATCATGTTCGGATGGGCGGCCTAGTGGTTATACTAGGATTTAGACAACGCCGTTGTCAGTACCGCCGCAGAATTCGAGAATCAGCCGTTGGAGGTCAGAGAGTTTATATGGTTTCGTCATATAGCCTTTCATTCCCACTCTGGAGGCGCGATTCAATGCCTCGTCGCTAACATCGGCGCTCACAGCAAGAACTGTGGGAGGGGGTGGTGTACATAAGGAGTTGGAAATTGGATCCATTTCCATGGAGTCAGGGTTCTTGGGGTCCGGTCGCTCAAAAGCAACATGTTGGGCACGATGGTTCTCGACCATCTGGAGGATTCGTGAGGTGGCTTCATATCCGTCCATTTCAGGCATCCAAAGATCCATCAAAATCACATCGATCGGTCCGGTTTTTGTAGTCTGATGAGGCTCATTGATGACGCCTTGCATTGCGTTTACTGAATCGAGATCAATGTCCAGGACAGAGGGCTTTGACGCGGAGAGAATGCCTTGAACGATCTGGACGGCTTCTTTGCCATCGGCCGCTTCAAGTACATCGCAGTAGCCAAGTTTGCGTAGCATGCTCACCAGTACGCGCCGGTTAATTCGATTATCTTCGGCAACGAGAAAGCGCAGCGGATATTTCTCGCCAAGCTTCTTGTCATATGCATCGCCGGAAATATGTGTTCGATTCAAAAGGGTTTGTGATGACGGTCGCAGGAGTGTTGGGCTTTGAGACATGTTTTCGTCGATGGTGCCTGGTGTCGGCTGTTGCTGACAATTCTGGAGTAGGATAAATGGGGAGTTAAAGGGAGTGGGATCAGACAGAGAACTACTGGCACTGCCCTGTCGTGTTTTGTCGGTGGTAGAGGTGGATGGCGTCGAAACACTCTCACCGGGAGTTTCAGGGCGGAGCTCAGCTTCACGTTGGTTGACGGGGATTCGAATTCGAAATTCTGTACCACGCATAGGACCGGAAGTCGACGAACGCACACAGGTCAAGTCACCGCCCATTTTTCGTGAAAGGCCCTTCGCCACGAGGAGACCGAGACCCAGGCCATCTTTGCTTCTTGTGGTCGATGCATCTCCCCGAGCGAATGGCTTGAAGAGATTGGGTAGGAATGCAGCGGGGATTCCCGGACCGGTATCGCGGACAAGAATATGAACATCATTCTTCTTGGGGTCAATAGTCGCGCAAACAGTAATGGTGCCGTTGTTGGTAAATTTAATCGCGTTGAGAAAGACGCACGAGATTAGTTTAGCCAAATCACGGTCATCGGCAAGAAGGGTGTCCGGTAATGAAGGGTCTACAGACCAGTCCACAACCTTGGTGAACAATTCACCGTTTGAGGACCGCGACCGAATCTCAATCCGTTCACCAAACTCGGTTGCATTGCTAACAGCAGAGTCCGGTCGGCCACCAACGTGAAGAGACTCGTTGATTACCAAGCGGAGAAGATCTCGTAATTTGGTAAATCGCAAAGCAGAACCTCTTAAGTTCACATTGATTCCCTCAAGGAGTAGGTGAGGGGCGGATCGTCGGACTGCGAGAGACGGGCGTGGATCGGCCATGTTAGCCAATACAGCTTCGAACTGGCGAGCTGGGGTAGCATGTACGATCTGGCCGCTTTCGTGAACAGCATTCTTGACTTCTTCGCTGCGGGGCGAAAGCTCTTGCCGGGACGAAACCGCACGCAGTCTTTGCTTGCGCACTGGTCGGGTGTTCAGCTCTGATGGTAGGCTCCGCCGCCGTTTGTATGGGTTTACAGCGATATTATTCCCTTCGATGAAGATGCTCGGCCGAGTCTCGGGTATAGCAGGTGGGACTGTGAGACCGCCTAGTATGTCGGGCTCCTCCCGGAGTGGGGTTTTGGGAATTTGCATGTTGAGCTCGTATGCATGAACGACATTGTCAGCCGCTTCAACCGCACGTCTCGCACTATCTTGAACCATTTCAATCCCCTCCTTGAGCGATTGAAAAATGTCCCCCGATTTGACCGGAGGTTGAATCTCCATCGCCTCGCGCACTGTAGCATGCATGACGTCAAGCATGCCTACCACACCCTGCATTGGGGTCCTCAGCTCATGGGATAAGCTTCGGGCGTAGGGTTTGAGGGGGTGGGAGTTGAAATCATGGGAGTTGAAATCAGCGGCTTCATGGAAGGCGGCAGTCTGGGGGTTGTGGAACTCGGAGGTATTTTTCGTTGGGGAATCTAACATTTCATCTAGAATTTGTTCCCCTGTGTCCAGCCGTTGTATAATCAGGTCTTCGAGCGAGTGGAGAATCATCTCCAGGAAGGACCAGGACAGATTTCTATGCCGGAGACCTTCTTTCGACCACATCAACCCGAGGTGCGCCAGGCACTTTCCAGCCGAAAAGAGGGGAATCGCCAAATAACCATCGGCGGCGAACGGCAATTGATCATCGCCGAACGATAAGAGCGAGCTGAGGTTCTCGGGGACCAAACAACGCCGTTCGTGGTCCATGTGCAATAGGGGGTTCCCTCCGGCGAAATAATTGTTTCGCTGCAACCCAACTTTCTGATAACCATCATTGTAGTAGAAAGCTGCACCAAAAACCGACGGGCGCCGCCCGCCTAATTCTGGCATGGGCTCAGTTCCGTGCACCCTCCGAGCAACGAACCCATACTGGGCTTTGGTTATAGACGTCAAGTCCTCCATAAGCCGTTTCCAGAACAGCTCGGTGTCGGCTGCCCGCAGGCACTGTTTGAGTGCAACCAATTGTTCAATAGCAGTGGTCTGGACACCATCATTCCATGTTCCCAAGTCGCGTTGCACATCTCCATCGTCATGAACGGCATTTAGTCCGTCGCCAGTGATGCACTCGGACTTGCACGAGGGGAATGGCGCGGGACACGGTTGGACAGCGTGAGAGACATCCGGCTCGGGCATGTCGGGCATAGTCCATGTGGCAGTGAAAGTGACGTCCGTTCGAGGATTCGTTGTTCGGGCTCTCTCGTTTATCCGAGGGTGGTGGTAAGGACCATAGCATTCAATTGTATGAACAATAGACACCGTGGATGGATCAGACAACTTCGACGTACATTCACTAGAATATGAAATATTAAAGAGAGAAGACGCTCAGAAGGAGGGGAGAGGGGATTTTCCGTTAGTTCGATGGGGAGGGGCGGTCTAGACACGGCCTGAAACAAGAAGTTATTAAAGCTTTATAGATTCTGGTAGCTAATAATATTTCTAGCAGAGATGTTTCAGGCTTCTCTGAAGCTTTAAATTCCCTTTGACAATCGATCTCCTCTTTGTGTGTTGTGTCTTTTTTCCCTTGAATCCTGCGGAGATGCACGGAGGCGCACGGAGGCTGCACTGCAGGATCAGCGGGATCTAGATCAGGAGAGGGCCATCGGGTACCGAGTACCTGATTTCCCCGGCTGTTATCTATGATAGGGGAGGTACTCGGTACATCTAAGATCTTACAGAACAGATCTACTAGCCGTACTATATGTATGTTTACAAGGGTTAGCCGCGTGTGTGGCCTTAATTGAGAGCGATATGATCCATTTAACCAATAGTAGTGTTTTTATAGGTATTTTGGATGTCGCGTTAGATGTTTTTTGGATATCTTCTGGAATTTTCCAGGTACATAGGTTGTATGTAGACAGCGGAAAGAAGCGGAAAAAGGATGGATTCGACTATTCTAAATATATCTTTGATTGATTGTATCTCAAGAGCAATGCACCGAATGCTTAGCATCTACTTCACTTCTTAAGATCTCACGAGCATCGAGTGTTCGTGTTATCTCAACTTCGAATTTTTTGTCAATCTCATTCCAGTGGCCCTTCCTATAAAGGCTGCACTCAAAGCATTCGTCCAATTGGCCATACCACAGACGAGATACTGGGGATTTGGGGACGATAGAGCGATGGGGGCAGCCCAAAAAACGGGCAATATTTGGGTAATCGAACCATTCCTTGGTGTAAGCGATCTCCCATTGGCTCCGGACTCGCAAATATGTCTGCTCATCTTGTGAAATGTAGATCCTCACGTCGGCAACCACCTCGGGTGCGATTGTGACTGAGCAACGGTGCCATTCAATGCATTCATGTTGGCACCCTTTCAGCATTCGAGCCATTGCTCTCATATTCAACGGGCTGCAGGGACAGACGTTTACAAACCCGGGATACTTGCATCTGCGGTTTATCCCAGTGCTGTATTCCCTCTCGGAGGACTCAAACTCGTTGGCTAGGTGTAACTTGCTGCATGAGCAACAGTAAAGTCTTCTAGGTCCTTGAAGTCGACAAAGAAGTTGACGGCGTAAATTTGTTTCCCGGCTGGAATTCTTAGCTAAAACCCCATATGGAAGCCAACCCCCGTCGGAGTTATATGTAGGGAAGGCAAATTCCTCTTGTGCCAAAACATTTTGATAGCGTACATATAAAGACTTGCAGCTGAGTGCAAGGCAGACCTGACACTTTATAGGGAGCAGTTGAATTATCTGGTCCATTAGCTCTAGAGGCAGGTCTGATATAGAAGCCTTTTGGGGCTCTATTTCTGGAGGCAGGCTCGACATAGAGGGCTCTAGGTGCTCTATTTCTGAAGGCATGTTCGGCATAAAAGGCATGAAGTGGAGGACCTGAGAAAATGATTGAGAAATCTAAGCATAGCATATAAGCAATGTGAAGCACTTTCCGTTATTTCCCATGGCCGGTTCCTATTTAGGCAATATCATGTACCCGTGGATGTAGTGAATGCTAAAATTGACTGCTCTTGGGAATATACTTCTAGTTTTAATGTGCGCATCGGTCAAATTAACTAACCTCATACAGCTCATCCTTGAGGATTGTGGAATATCAGCATTCTGGACCGAGGAACACCGGAGCGCGACTATGGACAAGAGTATATGAATAACAAGTGCCTAACGCGCAATGCGTATTACAAGCTTCGCTTTTCATTCTTTACTTTCTTGAGCATCATCATTTCTCTTTATTACTTCTTGTCACTTCGCAATCACTTCGTTTCGTTTCCTGTCTATTCGCTTGTCAAACACGCAACAATGGACCTTCGCACAAGACACCCTCGCCCAATTCCTCTAGGTACAAAAGAACTGGCACCATCTTCGGCCTTGGTCATGACTGTCGTGCTGGTCATATTCTTCCCCGTTCGCTTTATGTACTCGAAGGATCTCTCTACTGGAGGTGGGCAGCTATGAACAGAGACGAAGGTCAGTCAAAGCTTTTGAACAGACGGGATGATTACTGATTCTCGAAGACTGGACTTGGTCCGTTTCCCTGGTAAATATGTTGAATTCTGATGCAAATTGGAATATTGCCGTGACATGACAACGGGGCCTTTTATTATCGTGATAGGAGTAAGAGAAACATGGAGCCAAAAGAACAAAACTGTCCTTCAGCTCAGGTATCAACCGCTCTCACGTTGATCTTGTACTATCCCGTCATTGATGACCGTACACGGCACATATCATCCAGTGAAGACCGTAGACGCCGGGATTTGCCCTCAAACCAACGGAAAGCCCAAAACAACCACTTCCCCAAATCTAATCCTGTCGTCCCTTCAATAACCGCTGGGTAACCTTGTCCTTCTCTATAATGTAAACCTGGGCACCCCAGCCGGAGAGAGCATCTCGGTCCACGGCGCTAAGCAAGGCTTGTGAGATTGTCTCGAAGAGGTCTTCGGGGGCCTGTAACAACAAACTGTGTTAGACGGCGGATTTAACAAGTTGTACGATAACACCAATAATACATACCAGATCAGGCTCCCACAGACCCTCGCAAGTACCGAAGAGCTGGTCACTTGCTGTTCCGCTGACAATGAAGTCCTTGGCGAAATCGATACAGCCAATGCTGTCAAAGCCACAGATGAACGGCTTCCCTGTTGTTGGGTTGATACCAGCCAGCACAGGGCTGACGAAGTAAGGACCGAAGCGCTTCTCATACAGCGATGAGCTCACTAGGTTGGCGAGGGTCTGCGGTGCGATGTCGCGCTCCTCGCGCAGCCGGTACATGTTGACCTTGTAACGGAAGAGATCGGAGACGGTGTTGACATCAGTGGCGAGGCCAGTCAGGCCGAGATAGGTGGATGGGGCGTAGTTGAAGATCTTGGGGAAGTTGTTGGAGATGGTCAGGGACTGCATGCCCAGACGAAGGTCACAGGCGATGGCGACGCAGTCCTTGCCCACCATGGCGACACAGGCACCGCCATCTGCAGAACGATTAGTATTTCGGTTGACTATTCACGAGGGACAAGGTTCCGGCATACTGATGTCGAAGGGGTTAGACTGTGATGGGAGAAGTCGGTCAGCTTTGAGGTCCAGAGATTCGTGGACGATGTGCACAAAGGGAGCATTTTTCTTACCATTATTGCAGTATTTCAATGCAATTCAATATGACAGGGATATTCCAGAGCTAAAGCACAAGAAAAAAGAAGAGAAAATGTGGTTGAGAAGGGGGCGGGTTGGGGGAGGTGATGGAGGTGAGTTGATGACGGGGAAGCTCTGAGGTACGCGAGAGCTCAGATGACGCCCGCACCGCTGCCTGTTCGTATGTATGCGACCTTCGACTACTTTCTGCGCTCTCTTTCTCCCCGCATTCAAGTTTCACACTTGTTTACTTTGATCTGTCCGTTTAAAATCTCTTTATTGAGATATTCAACCTTCTCTATTTATTGCCAGAGCTAGTGTTTTTCTATACACAATGAGTGCCCACGTTGTGGTAATCGATGCGACAGCCAGGCGGGCAACAATCAAGACTACTCCCACCAAACACTTGACCGATATCCTACAGGAAGCATGCTCGAAGCTTGGATATAATGCTAGTCAATACTCATTAAAGTGAGTTGGTGTTCCTTGTCTCCGATGACAACACTGACCCGGTCTTCTCTACGCAACAGACACAATCGCAAGCAATTAGACCTTTCTCTTTCCTACCGTTTGTCTGGTCTCATCTCTGGCGCAAAACTTGAACTTGTTCAAATCTCTCGCTCCCCGTCAGTCGTAACCGTCGCCCTGCAACTGCCCGAATCTGAGGCTCGTGGTGCCCCGAATGGCCGCATACTTGATAAATTTCCCAGTACGACTACACTCTGGATGGTACTACGCAAGTTCGAGGCGGGAGTTGCAGGGAGTGGCCCGGTACGGAACCTCACTTCACGGGCAGCGCCCTCTGCCGATAGTGGAGATGTCGCCGGACGACTGTACTATGAGATCCCCGTCCTTCAGATTTTGGAACGTGAAGTATCGAGCTTCACAGATCTACAAAAAACCCTAGCCCAGCTAGGTTTCAATAGTGGAAATGTTCTTATCCGGCTCAGTTTCCGACGGACCGAAGAGCCTATCGAAGAAGCCATGGTGAAGATTGGCGAGTTCTTCAAGTCATCAGAGGATGAGGCTCCTCCGGCACAGGATAAGAACGCAGCGCGCACAGCAGCTCCCGCTGACAGTACAAGCAATGAGCCTGTTCAAGTGCTCTCCGGTTCATCGCAACCCGAGCCCTCCAGTGTCACCGTCGCATCAGACGAAGTCGCCCCTCCCCCATCTACCTCCGAACCGGCCACTTCCACGGCCGATTCTGGTCGAGCAATTACTGTCTTCTCTCCTCCCTCAGAAGACACTCCTTCCTCGGCAAAATTAGACCACAATGAGAGTGATTACATACCCTCTATCGAGCACGCAAAACTGCACCAGCGGTTACTCAACGAGTCCTCTCGCCCAAAACGCTTGCCAACGGACGCCGAGATCGCTGCCAAGGCAGAGGCAGAAGCGGCAAGACGAGCAGCAATTCACGAGGTCGATGTGAAGCTCCGTTTCCCAGATCAGAGTCAAGTAGTCGCCAAATTTGGGACCTCGGACACAGGACAGTCGTTGTATGAATTCGCACGAGGGTGTCTTGCTCCATCGTTCGCCAGTGAGAACTTCATTCTCACTGTCCACGGTGTATCCCGATCCAAGCACACACACGCCATACCTCCATCAGACAAGAAGCATCTGATTAAAGATCTAGGGCTGGCTGGCCGTGTGCTCGTCAACTTCTCTTGGGCTGATAACGCTGCCTCGTTCGTTCATGAACGCCGAGCAGAGACCCTACGCCCCGAGCTTCGGAGCCAGGCTCAACAGCTCAAGGTGGAGCATCCGCCTGAACTCAAGGAAGAAGATGTGCCTGCTCCCTCACAGCCGGGTCCGAGTAGCGCTCAGGGCGGTGGTAAGTCCAGCGGGGCACGGAAGAGTGGTGCTATGCCTAAGTGGCTGAAGCTACCGGGTAAGAAATGAAATGGGATAATGAAATGTTTGGTTCAGGTGAGCGACATGTGCTGCTCTTGATGATTCACGACTTAACTATGTGGCGCATCCCTTCGAGACGCATTAACGTCTTGGATGTGCGAATAGACTTGAATCACATGCCTTTCATACTTCATTTATGTAGATAGCCTCAACAAAAATCTAGGCTTAACACCAAATGAACGGTGTATATGTAGTGAGATGCTGTCCTCTGCATACATATTTACATGAAATCAAACCTCACTCGGCTTGAGCCAAGGGCATACGCTTCTCCATCTACGTTGTAGACCTCCATTTAGAAAGTGGCTCAATTGCAGATATCACACGTAAAATGGTTGAATAATTGTTTTCATTATGGTTTCACTCCATACGACAGAGAAGGAATCCCATAGTTGCCTTCCCCTTCATGCACGCCCCCTTTCCGATCCGAGAATCACGCTTTTTTTTGCGTCGAGTCGTTAAAACGAAAGAAAAACAGGAACGGGTCCGGAAATTTAGTGAGCAGCGGTGCGGCGAGACTCAGCAATAACCTTCTGCATGGACTCAACCTTGGCCTTGCCGCGGCCGAAAGTACCGAGCTGGACACGAAGTTAGCAAAAGTGTAGACTCAATAGATCGGCGGGCTATGATGTTAGTGGAATCATGAGGGTTGGGCATTGATCTTAGGTGCTATAAACAGAACAGTAATTGCACGGGCTTGTCCAAGCAGAGATTGAGATGACTCGTCCTCTGCATGATTGACATGTATGGCCCATACAGTACCATTCTGTATACAGCAAGACCTCGACCAAATCGACCCAAATCCAATGTAATCCATACAACAGAGCCAACCAGACAAAAGCGGGGAAAGGATTGAGAGTAGACGTACGCGCTTCTTAGCGAGTTTGCGGGCACGCTTATCCTGGGCGTTGCGCAGCAACTCAATGATGCGGCGCTCGTAGGGAGCGAGACCAACGACCTCCTGGGCGATTTCGCGGACGAAAGCGGTGCGGCGGGAAGACTTGCCCTTGGTGCGCGAGATGCGGGTCTTGGGGGTGTTGAGGGCGGTGGTTTTCTATATCAGGACCTAGTCAGTATGTCTGTTTCGCCAAGTTTCATGTAGCAGCCGCAGGTCCCAATGTTCTCTTCAATTCGCGGTTCGTGTCTCTGTCTGTCGGGGTGGTTCATAGCGTGGTCGGATCAGGGTTGCGTGCATGGCGAGTGCTGGCACCGGTGCCAAAGTCGAATTCAAAATAGTGTTCCCGTGACATCGAAATTTTCCCCAGTGAGTCTCCGATATTCTTCGTTCGGCGATTTATTCGCAATCCTTCTTGCCGCGATGATTCCCAGTGTTCCCGCTATGAACCATGACCCGACTGATCTTGTGTTGACCAACAGAGCGAACGAAAAGAAGAGACCTTGGGAGACCTTCAAACGAGCGACAAACATGGTGCAAAGAGACAGTAAGAACGTACCCGGCCCGCGTTGAGTCCGACCACAATTCCGGAGCGTTCGGCCATCTCGACGGTTGTTGACTGAAGGGGTTGGCGGAGGTTGTCGAAGAGGAGGTGAGAGAGCCGTGTGAAAATCGCCTGGTCTTTTGCCTGGAACCGCAAAATGGAGCCTTGGCGTTGGTGCGGTAGGCGAGTGACTAGGGCTAGGGCTGGGTGAATCGGGACTAGCGTCATTATTTACACCTCAGGCAACCAAGTCCATGTGGCTTGGCATGTGCACGTGATAGATATTGCCCTCCTTTTATAGATCAACCTCTTACTACCTGGACATCATCTGAACTTGTTGATATCAACACTCTCATGGATTGGTTTACATGTACTCTAACTATGTACTTTCATGGACACATGATTTATTCGGCATTAGAGCCTGGCAGCCAGCACTCCATCAAGTGCCTCCTCCCAGCTCTCTCTCAGTTCTCCGCAGAACAATTCGAGCGCAGACTCGTCCATCGCCTTTTCCAAGACTTCTTGAAGCGGCTTCTCGTACTCATCAGTAGTATCCCCACGCTTGACCATGTCAATGAGTGTACTGAGAGTGGCTGATTCAATAAGGCTCTGTTTCAGACTTCGGGTGTTCAAACGGATATCCTCGAAAACTTCACAAACAAGAGTATTCAGTCGGTTCATTTGTTCGGCAGGGAGTTTGGCGGTCTTCACAGCTTTTCGAGAATTCAGGTTGAAAATATTACATAGAGCCTTGAGGGTCTCCACGAGGGTCCAAATGGTATGGAAATATTCCCATGTCGGTGCACCTGGGGTGCCTGGGGTGAACTGGACGGTCGTCCTCATGATAAGGGAAGAATTTCTAGTGTCTTCCAGGACTAGATCCTCTTTCTTAGCCTTCAACCAATCCTCTATCTCGCCAAGAACAGTCTCAATTTCGGTGGAAGTATGGGCCTTCGATCCAGCCATAAACATAGCCACTTTCAACAATTCTACGTGAATCTTGGCTGCATCTATCTCGGCATCAGTGTGATCAACATCAGTCTGGGAGAGCGATAATTTGCCGGTGTCAGGCAGCTCTGGCTCCAAGACGACTGGCTTCTGACTGCCGATGCCCTCAAGAACACTGAAAAGTCGATCAGTAAGCCGGGCGGACGCCAGCCAATTTTCCTATATGTACATTAGTCGGTGCCATGGTGTCATTCAAGCCAACAAACTTACCCCAGGAATCGGGCCTGCGCGCAGTCGGTGCTCAAATGCAGGTTTGCCACAACGTTCTAGGTCCATAAAACCATCGTACTTCCGCTGGTCTTGAGCCGGTGATGTATCCTGGGCTATAGGGTAATTAGTATTCAAGTATGTCAGGAGTACATGGGAGACTGAGAATTGCTGACCGATTTCCTCGTGAAGGGCCAAGTGGTTTCCTTTGCGGATTCTTTGCATCCGCCGTAAGTCCAGTGCCCACATTCTCCGGCAGATACTGTCCCTGATACGTTTTTGAAGCTCAATTGTGTCATCTAGATTCACGTAAGTCCCATCATCAAGTCCTTTTATCAAAGAGTTCTTGATAGTGAAGCTTGCATGACGATAAAAGTCGAGAGCGGTAATGAATGCAACTTGCGCGTCAAAGTCCTTGTATTCTCCGCCCTCTATAAGAGGCGCGGGATGAGGGTGGATGGTGGCAAAGCGGGTAAAGAGGTTATGAGCAACACTTTCATATTGCATCTGCTTGATAGACAGCTTGCCAAACCACCTCAAAGCAATGGAGCCTGCGCCGAGAAGAAGATAAATTCGAATCAACATAAGAATCGCCTCGTAGTTATGAGGTGAGTCGATTAAAAGATGTTCCAGAATCCCGGCGGTGCGAATCAGGGCAGTGTTACTGACTTTCTCAGATGCCTGGCCAGCTGCGTTAGGCTGAAGAAGGGCCATTGCGGCAATGATGCAGAAGTCATCTGTAGGTCGGCTTTCCATCGCGGAAGCAGTATCTGGTTGGCTTTCTTGTTTTTTGTCCTGTGTCTTTGCTAAAAGGGTGAATGCATCGTAGAAGTAAAGGCAATTGCGGACAAGGGTCTCGATACTGGATTTCAATACGTTTTTATTGGCTGAAATCCGGTCGCAGTATTGCAGCTTGTACGCATTGATCAATGGAATGGCATCATCCTAGAAAGTTGATTAGCTCGCATTGACTGAGTTTAGCAGAATTTGCACGTACAGGTTTCCCTTCGACACTGTCCAAGCAATTTTGGGCTACTCGGTGAATCAAGGCATCATCACGGGTCTCCAAGACCCCTCGCAAGTCTTTAAAAGCATAGAGTTTGTGCTTGTGTTGGTCAAAGTATCTTTGGCACGCAACAACCAGATCATCCTCTGTCCGCTCGCCCCGTTTGAATCCGGTTAGGACTATGTCCATAATAGCGATGTGCGCGTTGCGGGACTTTGGGCTGAATTCGATGAACTTCTCGATATGCTGCTGCGTATCGGAAAGTAGCCTATGAAGCAGGCAACCATTTATTAGCTGAGGGTTTGATGGTGTAGAAGTAAAATGTTGGAAGACATACCCTGGACTTTTTTCAAGACGACGCACGGCTAGGATGAGCAAGTTCCAGTATTTCCAATCATCCCGCTCATGCAAAGTTTTGCGCTCTGCTTCGTCTTCAGGCACGGTAAGCAGGCCTTTGACGTATGAGTGCCCCTCTTCCCAGAGTTCGGCAGCCCCCAAGCTAGTGACTTTGGCTAACATGAAGGTCCTGTCGTTATTAACAATCCGAGAGCTGAGACCAGTATTTTCACTATTGAGAACCTGCACAATCTCTGCCCAACGAGACTGTGATTCGAGAATTCGAACAACCAAGAGAAGTTCCTCGGCGGTTTGTATCGCTCTCGGAGGGCTTAGCAATTCGGTCTGTAGTAAGTCATTTGAATCAGTCAGTCATTTATGTCCAAAAATTTCATTCAGTCTTCACTTCCAGTGACATGAAATCTTGGAAAAAAGTCACATACCGGGTTAGAGGGAACCTCGGCTACTGCTTTCTGAGCAAGGCGATAGGCAAGTGTCCCAAACAACTTGTGGTCCATCTCCGAACTAGACTTGTCATCCGAAACGAGGTAACAGAGGAAGATCGCCCAAAAATAATACTTTCGCTCCCGAGGAAAGTTCTTTTGGAGACTCATGGCAGCCTGTTATAAGAACGAAGGCACTCGTTAGCAACTTAGGCCTTCATATGATCCCGGTATAGCATATGCTTCTTCTCAACTCACTTTCTGGGCTGACTTCCAATCGCCAGCCTCATAGCCGAACTTGAACCACCTCATCTGAAGATCACGATCCTGTGGCTTTGCCTTCGCTGCTCGTTCCCATATAGCGCTCCGAAGCTCGGTATAGTCATCCATATTTCGCAGCGTACTGTGGAGTATGTCGAGAGAGTCTAAATCCGAGATCGGTGGATCGGCCTTGCACAGCTCGAGGGTTTCTGCAATTCCCCTCTTTTTATGTGTCATATCCGCATGGTTGAAGAGAACATTCGCTTTCCAGGCCTGTTATCTCACGTGTTAGTTGGTTCTTTACAGCTAACGACGTCGTAGTGGTGGTAGATTCGGAGTACAATGATAAGGATCACTCGCCTTCAGGAAATGAGTGTTCTCGCCTTTCTTCATGCGCTTCTCAATCAGCTGTAAGGCCTGCTTCATATTCTGGGAGTCAATGGCATCTTGGATTTGATTGTTACGACGCAAAAACACCGCGTCATTGCTGGAGCTCATGGTGGAGGTGTTGCTCAATGTGCAGGAAAACTCTTCAATTGGCGTTTTTCGCAGAATGATCTGATCACTGTGCGAAGCACAGCATAGGCTAAAAAGGTTCAATGATCTGAGTTGGAGTGGACTGATCGACTCCGGTCACTTTTTATTTGGTGGGGAAGAAGACCAAAGGGTAGGCGGTCAGTCGGTCCCCTCACCATACTGCCATGATGTATTTCAAAAATAGAAATGACAAGTCCATCGATCCAATTCTGGGTCGGAGTCCATCGTCCCATAAATATGGAATTTCTTCCTCTGATACCATGTCCCCCGAAGCTCTTTCGCCCGTACCATGCCTGACATCATGACAGCGCTCCCATCTGGTGCCGTGACTCGCACATTCAGCCGACTGAAATATGTTCAGCTCGAGGCCGAGAAGATCGCCGAGACCCTCGAAAAAGACGAGGAAGAGAACGGAAACCAGTTCTTCATTCTACTCCAAACAACCCCTCGTATCTCGGAGCGACTCTTCGAGGATCATGATTGTTTGAAGGGTGTGAACTACCGGTTTGAGTTTGAAGGTAGTACAGGTATTTTGCGCGTGATACCAGGGTATCACCATGAATATACCACCTCGGCACTCGTGCAGAGAGTCACTCTGCAACTGACCAGCATGGGACTAACTGATGAATATTATTGGGGCGGAGCGACGCGATATAAATCCTTATCACGGGGCCAAAGAGGGAGACCAAGTTTTCAGCCCCTCTGCACGTTGCCCTTCTAGTACGAGTTTGCAATGGCCTACTGTGGTTATCGAAACGGGGGTCTCTAAGAGCCTACCAAGGCTACTTGAAGATGCTCGATGGTGGTTTAGAGCCTCTAATGGAGAAGTACGTATCGTGATTCTCATCTCTATCAAGAAGACGGCTGTACATTTTGAGCAATGGCAGCTTGCTCCGCCCGGTGCCCCTCGACCCTTGACCAGAGCCTATATCGACATCCTCCGCCAGAATTCAATGCCACCCCTCCTCCAACAGCCGCCTAACATACAGCAGCACTATTCATATGCTGAAGTTGATGTGACCAAGACCACAGTTGTTGGTGCTCCAATGGTATTACCATATTGTGCTCTATTTAACGTTCCTGCCCGACCCCTAACATGCAAGATGTTGTGCTTGATGAACAAGTCTTCCGTTACATCACTGGGGTCAATTTCTCTTGATTGCTGGTCTTAAGGGGATCAATCAATTTGAAGACAGGAATTGAAGGTTTTCGACCGGATCAATGGAGATGGAGGAGTAGGAAGAATGGCTGTCTTCTAGAGAATATCAGGATCATTTTCATCGGGGGAATTCGATGTTATGTCGTCTCTCTTAGAGAGCGGTATGGTCGGGCGGAATTTTGCTTTATCTTCATACTCCTCGAGAAATCCATACCATGATTCATTCATTTGATTCCAGGTGGACCGATAGTTCAATATCATACCTAGGCGACGAAGTGACCTCCCGGACGATTGACGTAATCAGGCTTTTAGCAGCGAGGTCAAGATGGAGTACTAATGTCATTAATCCATGTATACCTATAGACGAAAGGGGAAAAGAGTTTAGAAGACAACAAACCCAGGAAGTCTATACGGACGTCAACCGGGACATGTTAACAGATTGTTGGTTATATGACAGCGGGTGACTACCTTGTGAATGTAAATAAGGAGTTATGTTTCATATTCTGCACGAGTCGTACTCGACCGAATATGAAGACCAGAAGCACTATACCTGTGCGAAATAGACAAGACCACAGCAAAATGTTAATATACAGGCTTAAAATCATTCAAAAGATAGTACAATATGCCATTCAAAAGCAGGAAAGCAAATTCAATAGAGAAACTGCTTCTCTCACAAGTCAGCACCGGACGATGAAGCGTTTCGACGTGCCAGGAATGGAATTCCTTACCAACCTAGCAATATCGTGATGCCCGACAGCAATTCTAATGCTTATCACCTGAACAAAAGGTAGGAGTTTGGCTTTGACAGGCTTCTGAATATTGAATTAATCAAAGAGCACACCCTACGCATCGGCATGCAACAACTGCTTCGGGGATGTCAGGGATCCTGCCAGTCAGGAGTTGTCGATCTTTTCGATAAGAATGGTCCAGATGAAAGAAATGTCTTATTTGGGCTGAGGCGTTGCAGAAACTTTCTTCTGGGTGAGCTGTGCCTTGTTAGCGACCGAAGATGCTCCAACGCATAGCGAATCAAAGTTAATGGATCTCGCGGATAGCCTGCCCGAGACGGGAGATTGCTGAGGTGATGGCAAAGGTCTCATATTCAACTTACCCAGTTCTTTTTGCAATCACGATAAGCTCTAGAAAAGGTCATCAGTGAGTGTGAAAGCTCAAATATGATAATCATGACAATATTGTACAAGCTGGCCAGAAGTGGATCGAAAGCCAGTACATTGCACGGAAAGCAAGTCAAAGTATTAATCAAATCGCATAATAATTACCGACTTACTGGAAATAATCGTGGCACATTTCGCGCTCATAGGCATTCCGTTTCATACACTTGAGACTCCGATCTGCGAAGTCTTGGCATGGGTCGTAGTACTCGCTGGCATTTTTACTAACATCGCAAGTTAGCTACCAGTATAGATAAAAGCCACGTGTATTCAGCCCAATGAATAGATGCAACCACCGGGCTAGCCTGTGTTGCTATGCGTGGCTCTCGAGACCCCATAGTCCATGTTAGATGATCCCGCGGACCACCGCGCCCGCGATCACGGATGGCTTCAGACATGCCATATCATGTTTTGAGAATGGACAAACAAGTAAAGAGGAGGGAAGAAAGATTGAAACATACTGTGCGAACTTCTTCTCCGCTCTCTCCCACGCTTTGTCGTGAGTGTCTCCTTGTGTTGACTCGGCCGCCATGGGTGCAATGAGTTCTTATTTCTCCTGTCTTTGCAATGGATACTTTAGGTAAATGATATAACCAAATAGAATAGAATGCCAAAGCGTTGCTCGAAGATCAGATTGGAGGTGGAGGTTGATTGGAGCAGAAGTTAGCGCTGGACGCAAGAAGAATTGGGGATCCGCAGTCTTGGCGCGGAGATCTGCCAATGTAGAGTCCCGAGGTCTGCATAGCACCATGTTTTTATGTACCACTTTGGGTTTGATACAAGTCTAGAAGGAAGTATCTAAATAGCCATGGCTTCTAGTTATGTTTGATTTGTGGACCCACTGAAATAGCTTACAGTTCCATTCTTAGAATGCAACTTTCTAGTTTAGACTCCACATATATATTCACGAGCACTACAACATATAAATGATAATATAGAAGTTGAAAAAAAGCAATGCACAAACACTTTATTAGTGTTCCCGGGCTATTCTCACTAGCTAGCAAATGGAAAAGGGGATTTTGAACCCGGAGGTGCGAAAGAGGTATGAATATTCGAGCAGTCTGTCCCAGTATCAATTGCGGGGGATACGCAGCGGAGTGAATCCACCATATTGATTAGCAATGAAATAAGGTGCTGAAACAATTTAAAGATGTGCGCCATTTATTACGACGCATACAAAAGCCCTAAGGCTCTAGACATTGCCTCAAGTAATGCGGATATTGACCTTGTCTCTGCCATAGACTTCGATTGACCATATCAACTTCTCCGTGAGTAGCAAGGAAGATACATTGGGGATCCTTGATGATGCGGCAGAGAAGCAAAGATATAAGAAACAGAGTAGACACCAGTGCTAGGGAAGCAAAAAATATTTGGCCTGCTCTTGGCCATATGGCTCTGAAGAGCTCGCGATGAGATGATCATTGATTTTGAACGATTTGATTGTTCATGTTGCTCTTGCAAGCCTCGTTTGGGGCTTCTGGTCATGATTTAGTGCTTTACTCTCGTCAGGAAATTGAAGTTGGATGTTGGTTTTTACTCAAGAAGATCTCAAGAGATGCAGGCAGTCGCTTGGATAATGATATGGTATGAAATGAATGTTCTCTCCAAGTTAATCAGATGTTAAAAATATAAAAGGCCTCAAGTTCAACCGAAGGCCTCGACTTGAATGATGCTGCATGGAGTCTTTGTGAGTGCCTCGGAGACTGTCGAGGGAGTGAACCGGTTGGTGCGAGATCTATATGTCAAGTGAGGTCGAAGCATAGGTCGAATATGCTTCGATCGGCTATATTATTGAATAGAAATGATTATCTATTGGCTCACCTGATTTCAAACCAACAATAAAGGTAAAAGGGAAGTCAAGACAAGGGTAACATCTTTGTGTTATAAGACCTGCTGAGGCTTCATTCATATAGAAAAGTCTCTCACCTGTAAGAGAGGTATAGTTGCACCTGTCACGCATATTATTTTCACAATAATAACCTTTAAGCAAGCGCCAGTAGTCCCAAAGAAGTGACTGTCACATAAGGAACATCGATAAAAGAAAGTGACGAGTCACTTCCAAAGTTGCCAGCTCGAAGCGCCGCCCCCTTCCTCATGATTATGTGATGGCTGCCTGAGGCCACCAAAACACCTGCCCTCTCACTTAAAGAATCTGGATCATATTATTGCTCTTCCCGGTGTCTTTCTCTCAATCTCAGACCGTCACGCTATCCTCGCCTGTGTTTCTCGATTTCCTAGTGTTCGTCTCTGCGAAAATCTGTTGATCACACCTTGCCACTTCGCGAAACTTTTACCTTCCGGGACCCCCACCGTACCTGTTGACACACGCGCATCACCCCAATACGCCTTAAACGCACTTCGGTTGATGGGCCACGCTCCTAGTGTGGAAACCACAGCTCTCGACGAGCCCTAGAAGGTCAAAATGGCAGCTAGAAGTGGTTCTGGGGCTGAGGCATCGGGAGTAAGACAAGTCCCGCATCTGATTCAAGTGACCTAAAAACTCACGCGCGTAATCTAGCTGGTCAACACCCTCCAAGGCCATGTCGATGATATTCGCACTCTGATACAGTGTGGTATATGCATCCGCCCCCTTTACGAACCATTTACAATCGCTTGCGGGCATACTTTCTGCTACTCAGTGAGTCCTTTCTACTTGTTCTGTCGTGAATTCTATTAGCTGACCATAATTCTTCATATAGTGTCTATCATCATGGTTTGCTGGTGGAAGATCAAAGCGAACATGCCCGGATTGCCGGGCACCCGTCAAAACCCAACCAGCACCAGCTTATCTGGTGAGTTTTGATAATCTTCAATCATTTCATTGTATCTGACATATCTCTCGTGTTACAGGTTCGAGCCGTTGTGCAGATGTTCACAGGTCGAGCTGAGCTTTTAGACAAAGGAGAAACGACTACAGAGCATACAAAAAACCAAAAGGACGAAGCAGAAAGACTAGACCAGGACAAGGCCAACAATCATCCAACCGAAGGAGGTCTGTTCGGAGGTCTTTTCAAGCCCAAAGATCCTCCACCCAAACCTGACCCCGAAGACGGAGTGGTTCGATGTCCACTCTGCTCGTGGGAACTTGAAGGATACGATTGCGCATCATGTGGCTATCGGTACCGGCCAGATTCTGAGACAGATGACAGTGATTCGGCCGACTACAGTGAGACCGACCTAGACTCGATGGATGATGGTATGGATGAGGGTGAGGACGAGGATGAGGACGAGGGCGACGGCGACGGCGAGCTAGGGGAATCTGACCACTTGGATGAGATTGAAGACCAGGATGGCGTCTGGGGCAACTTTGCGCTTCACTATTACGGGCCTACATTCCCTGGACGCCCTAACTGGCCTCCAGGTGCTGACCGGCAGCTTTTCGACCGGCTTGAGAACTTGTTACATGGACCTCCCATGATCCCACTGGGCCCGCCGCTCCCAGTGAATCATGACAACTATCTCGCTTCAGGTAACACCAATGGAAGTGAATACGACGAAGAAGATGACGAAGAAGAAGAGGAGGAGGAGAATGAGTATGACGAGTCAGACTCATTCATCGATGACCATCTGCCCACGAGTTCGTTCATTGAAAGCGAAGCCCATCATCTCGGGAGTGGCGATATGTATGAATCGGAATCAGACCGTTCCACAGGCACCGTTGTGGATGATGCTGAGGGTGGCCGCCATCCAATACCGACTGCGCTCAATTACAGAAACACCACACCTTACTTTGACGCCGATGCCTCCTCTGATGAAGAGGTGGAAGAGGAAGTCTCAGAGGATTCAGACGACAGGGAGATGGTCGATGAAGACTCGGATGAATCCGACGAAGACGCAATTCAGACTACACGGCCTCGTCAAGCCAATCCACAATATCCACAACGGTTCCGAGCCCCCAACGATGCTTCATGGCTTGCAGCGAGGCCTCCACCTGAAACAATTCCGGACTCATCCGAGGAAGAGGAATCTTCGCCGCCTATTAGGCCTGCTAGACCCGATGCGCGCCGTCCTATCCCACATGGGACCACTGCTCACAATGCGATCCCCGTCGATGACTCCGACGAAGATCAGCCTGTCGGCCCAGTGAGAAGAGCTACACAGAGGCGACGGGCCAGATTCTCTCCATATTAAAAAATCTTCCAACCGCCGACGCGGCATCTGCTTTCGCATTTCATCGGCCTACTTAATGTTTCCTTTTACTTCAGCGCGGCGCTTGGGTAATGATAATAGGAGAGTGAACATGGCTGGCGTTTTGTCTTCATTTTGATATCAAAAGGGCGACTTTTTCTCTTTCTTTTTTCTCTTCTGCTGCCTTCAATGGCTGGATCCTTCATGTTTCGTTTCTTATTGGCTCGGCCATACTCCACGAATACAATACCCCTACTTATCCGTCTTCGGTTCGATCTTGATCTTTTGTCGCCCTTTCCCAGTGAAGTCGACGAACCTAGTCTCTTGGCACTAACTGAAGAGTGACCACAAAGTTTATGAAAAAGACACCGGGCTTTACCGTATCAAGTCCTTGATTCTCATATTCTATTCCCTCGCCGAATTAATAAAGCGTACTGGCTTGCTGAGTAGTGTTATTGCTCATATTGCTTTGATAACTACATGTCCCTACAACAGTCCACGAGTCCATCCAGAGTAGACAAATAGATTTACCACTGACCCACCTGGTGGACACTCTATCCACAAGCAAAGTAAACTGACAAGCACGGCCAGCAAACATCTCAACATAACGGAGGCAAGTCGTAGGAGTCTTTGGTTATTGGTTGTTGAAATAACGCACGTTGCAATATTGGAGGGAAGCAAGGTTATAAACGGGTATCTATGCACCTTTTCCAATCGTTTACCCTAATCACGAAGTGTAAACTTCAGGGACAATGTTGCTTGAAAGGGGGATATGATTGAAATACTTCAATGCACCTAAGAAATTCGATACATATGCAAAATGGTAAAATACACAGATGTGACTCCAAATACACCTGACCCCGAGCAACGCTCCCCATTTTACCCTCGGCCAATGACCAAGATCGAGACAAGAAGATTATGAACAAAATTTATACATCAGCCTTCACGGTGTCATTAGTAGCAAACGGAACTTCGAAGACAACAGCCCCATTGCGGCCTCCCGAAGTGGCGCCCTCATAGAAATTGTTGGTGAAGCACTTCCAGCGAGCCAATCGGTGCTCCTTGCCGACAGCGGCGATGATGGACAAACCACGAGGTTCGTGCTCGGTCTCAGACTTTTTTATTTCAGCACCAGGCATATCGGATTCAGGGCGTCGTTCAAAGACCGCGATGCCGTTGATGACACCCTTGATCAATGGATCTGGCTCCTTTTGATCAGCCACAGGGGTGGCATCAAGAGCCAGGGTCTGTTTGAGTTGCTGCGAGGGCATGTCTGTTGGTGTCACGGTACCGGGTAAGCCTGCACCGATGGGTCCCAGAGCGATAAGTGTCTTTTTATCTTCTGAGACGCGCCATGCGCGGATGAAACCATCCCAGCTGCCACTGAGGACAACGTCTGTACCCGGTAGAGTAGCGAGTGCGGTGATCCAGCGAGGCATTGGGCGCATATGGCGCGTGTTGTGGGCGGCAGTCGCCTCGTCTAACTCGGGTGATAACACATCCAGAGGGGGAATCGGGTCCAAGCCGTGAGCAAGACGAACAGTGTAGAGTGGCTTCTTCTTGTGGACAGACCAAAGGCAGAGGGAGCCGGAATCTGAGCCAGTGACGAAGTGAGTGGGTGGGAGGGGGGCAATACAGTCGATGTTGCTCTCGTGGTAAGGGGCATTTCTGGAGGCGCCGCCACGGAACACGAGCTGTGTTTCCTCGACAACCTTCCATAGGCGGGCCGTACGATCCCGAGCACCAACACTGATACATTCGTCAATGGTCATGGCAGCAACTCCGGTGACATGATCCTGGTGGCCGAAGAGCGTTTCGACATAGGCGTGGCCAGCTCCGCTGATAGACCATGTCTTAATTGTGCGGTCGTACGAGCCGGAGAACAACTGCTCTCCGGAACTCATCGCTGAGATATGGCGTGCAAAAGACAAGCTGCAAACCGAGTCCCTGTGGTGCAAAAAGGTCTTGCTTGGCGTCAAAGTCTCTGCATCCCAGATGATAAGCTTATTGTCCGTTCCACCGGTGGCCAAGAATTTTCCAGAAGGCGAGACAGCAACAGATATGATGCTTCCTGTATGTCCTTGATCCTCGCCTGATTCGCCAACTTTGCGCATACCCCGAGCGTACTTCACACGCTTGGGCTTCTTGCGCTGGGGACGCGGAGCCCGCTTGGAAGTATCATTATCGCCGTTCAATTCTGTAGAGTCTGGTACACTGGGTGTAGCCAATTCCCACTTGGTCAAAGTTTTATCCTTGGAAACAATGTAAACAAATGGCGGGTGGACTGCGATGGCGGTGTTTGACTGGGTATCTGAGCGGAAAAAGGAATGGGGCGCCGTGGGAACGGATAGTTTCGCTGCGATTTGACGGAACGTCCGTCCTTTGAATTCGTCGACGTCCTTCTTCAATCGTTCCGCAATCAAGTCTCGGTCGATATCTGCGGCATCAAATCCAGCTTCGTCGACTTCTTCTTGGATGTTACTCAGGTAGCGTTCAGCGAGTTTCAATCTTCGATCCGCCGCGGTCTCGCCATCTTCAGAGTCCGATCCACTCTCGTCTCCTGACTCTGCTGTATCGATTGCGGCATCCTCGTCCAAGTCACTGCCTGAGATCGATTCCTCTCTGTCTTTGGTGCGTCGACCACCGTCGGTTTTGGCATCTACGCCTCGCTTTTTTGATCCTGGGGCTCCGGCGCGGTCGTCTCTCTTCCTCTTGCGCTGGGAATTGGGTACAGTGAAAAAGGACGACATGCCGAATTTTGTCAAGCCTGTCGGTGCTTGATCTCTGTATAAAGAAAGTGAATGTATGGCGTTCTCGAAAGACTCGGACTGCGGAGATCAAAACTTCAACTTTTTTTTGGCAGAAAAAAAAGCGCTAAGCGGCGGCTGACTCAGCGGGTAGCTGACCTCACGGGAGCTCCAGGCGTCAAGCTCACCGCGCGGTCCTCCTCACTTGACCACTACTCCCCTTCGCCTTCTCTGATCATCTGCTTGCTTGTTATTCTTTTTTTTATCTCTCATACCGCAAACATGTAAGTGTATGGTCATCTCGTCGATACAAAATGTCACTAACAGTTTGCTAGGGAGGTTCTTTTGGGTATCGCCGGCAAGGACTTCGTCATTCTTGCTGCATCCAAGGCCGCAATGAGAGGCCCGACAGTTCTCAAGGCGGAGGATGATAAGACACGACAGTTGAACAAGAACACATTGATGGCTTTCTCTGGCGAGTCTGGAGATACCGGTATGTAGCTTCTCCGATGAGACAAACAAGATGCTAATGATATACCTATATTAGTTCAATTTGCCGAATACATCCAAGCCAACGCTGCACTCTACAGCATGCGCAATGATACTGAGCTCAGTCCCTCCGCCGTTGCCAATTTCGTCCGTGGAGAATTGGCGCGCAGCTTGCGGTCACGGAGTCCCTACACAGTAAACCTACTGCTAGGTGGTATAGATCCGGTCACTGAGAAGCCTCACTTGTACTGGATTGATTACCTAGCGTCGCTGGCGCCCCTACCATATGCTGCCCACGGCTATGCCCAGTATGTTTCATGGCCTGCTATGACGGACGAAACTCCAGGCAAGAGATCACTGATGCTGACTTCGCTAGATACTACTGCCTCTCCATCCTTGACAAACACCACCATCCCGACTGCTCCCTCGAGGAGGGCCTTGCGCTCCTCACCCTGTGCACAGACGAGCTGAAGCGCCGACTACCCTTTGACTACAAGGGGGTAAGTTCTTTCAAACGCCATGAGCAAATCCGTTATTCTGACACAATTATCTACAGATGCTAGTGAAGGTCGTGACAAAGGATGGCGTGCAAGAAGTCCCCGTGGATAATGATAAGGTGGTCCGGAGTGCTTGAAGGTCGACAAACGACGGGGTTTGTTGTATCACATCTTATGACGTTTTTCTTTGATTCCGGGATAATCCAACGGTCGGCATGATTTAGGCTGTAGCAAACTCGGTCAAGTAAGGAGTAGATCCCTAGATAATCTTGGATAAATAATAGGCAAATACAGTCCTATGATCAAAATGAACAGTAGTTTGTATACGGAGTAGAACGTACACAGCTTGGCATTCGCCTGGGTGTTTGACTTGTTTGCAATGAAGTCGCATCCCGAGCTCTCGGAAAGTCCAGAACCCCGGGATCACCAACTTTTCGATCCAAACCATCTCACAATGTCGAAAAGACACGCAGAGCTCCCCTTGGAGCAAGATTCCTCTGGCTCGCCTGTTTTGAAAAGGGCGCGCGTCGAGGAGGGCAACGACCCCGATTCTCGCAACGGCGCAGTGCCCGCATACCTAACGAGCGGCGAAGAGTTGACACAGGATGATTTCAATGGCGTGGATATCGAAGGAGCAGCTGAAATAGAAAGAGAGGAGCTTGAGGAGGGCGAAAATCCCCTTGGACTCTCGGATATTGACGAAGATGCACTTGCACTCAGCGCTCCGAAGCGGCAAAGCGCTCCCATGGAAGGCTACGGCGACCTCTACCTCGACACGATTAACCGCGAAATTTTGGACTTCGATTTCGAGAAGCTGTGCTCCGTCACTTTGTCAAACATCAATGTGTACGCATGCCTCGTCTGCGGCAAATACTTCCAGGGTCGTGGTCCGAAGTCGCATGCATATTTTCACGCCCTTGAAGTTGGACACCACGTCTTCATCAACATCGGCACGAAGAAGGTCTACGTTTTGCCTGAAGGATACGAGGTCAACAACAAGAGTTTGGATGATATCAAGTATGTGGTTGATCCACACTACACAAAAAACCAAGTGGTCAAACTCGATAAGGAAGTGCATGATGCCTGGGACCTTTCAGGGTCAAAGTACAGACCAGGTAAGAGCATGTACCATGATAGGATGGAAAAGTACTCTTTTGGCTAATTGTCTCTTTTTTCAGGGTTTGTCGGTATGAACAACATCAAAGCCAACGACTACGTCAATGTAGTCGCTCAACTACTGGCACATGTTTTGCCAATTCGCAATTTCTTT